AAATAGTAGACACTTAGAAAGAGTTGCAGACATTTAGAGACTGGCACAAAACTGAATTCAAACTGTTAACCCAGTTTCTATTCTATTTGTCACTTTGGGTGTAAAGCTTTTTTTTTCTTGTACCATGGTTTTTTGAGAACAATTCCAAAGGCATCTTTTAAAAAATAATCTGCTAATGAAGCCTCTGACCCAGGGTTGCAAATCCACTTAAATGTAGTCTTATGCTGTGGTACTCAATTGGCCCACACCTATATTCTTTCTGTATCCTGGCTTCCCTTCTACAATTGTTGTAGCAGAGAATTTTACTACTGTGTTGTTAGCAAAAATGTGAAGGAAAGTTAATGGTCTTCAGAAAATTAATCACTGGGAAAATATAAGGATTGTTATTTTTTTACAATATGGTAGCAATAGAACTTCTCTTCCTGGTTTGCCTCCTGGTGTTTCTTTAGTTCATTTTATCTTTTCCAGAATGTTTCAGAAATGACACTATGCTAACACATGATGACAACTTTACACAACAAGGAGAATGCAGGTTACGAACAGAAGGTTCTTGTGTCACTGCCACTGCTGCCAGAGCAGTAAATAATCACACCCCTGTCAACATTAAACCTTTCTTTAAACACAATAATTATCCAGTTTCTATGTTCCTTTTCAATGGATTGAAAAATGTGCTTTGCAGAGGACATAAGTTGCAATTATTTAATCAAATTATCCAAATGCAGTAATGGAAAGAATTTCTCTGAAATTCTTTGAATTTATTTACTCTCGGCTTGATTGATGATGAACTGCATGCTACATTAATTTTAGTGGGAATTATATATGAAAGTTTTCCAAGAGGCAATGTTCCAAAAGAGGTCAACTAACAAAGAAGTGATTAGGATAATGTATTCTTATTACTTACATGATATATTTGTAACTAAGTGACATGCTTATAAAAGTAAGCAGTTGATGAATTGGTTCAATACCTTCTTGATAAAATAAGATAAAATGGCTTATAGATTTACTCTTCTCTGATCTTCTGTGAAGGAAACCTATTGTCCATAAACTTGATAATGATTTTTTTTAAAAAAAATGTTTGTTTGTTTATTGGGGTCTTAATCAGAACTCCATCTTTATTCTGCAGGGCAAAGTCCCAAGAGGTTGTGTGTCTTGGCAATGAACGAAATACATAAACACACATAAACACCCCCAATCAATCAATCAATCAATTGTATAAGATATTTATATCTTGAAGCAGATTTTCCCTTTCTGTCTGCCTGTCTGTAATACTATTCTCATGGTGATTTGTGATATTACATTTGGCCTAACTGCTGGGCATAAAATCCAGGACAGGCACGTATTTGTTCCTAAAAGACATGTTTACATTTTCAGAATGCTCTGCAGTGACAACTGGTACAAATCAAGCAATATTCTTGTATTTAGTGTTTAACTCAGAATTCCATCAGCCATAATAAAATCTAACCGTCACTATTTCCACAATCCACAAACTTAGCCTTGAGCAAGGAACACTGCATTCCTTATCTTCAGGAATTGCCATAATATGCCCAGCTTTCCTTTGAACAGGAAAATAGATTTTTGGGATGTATCTGGATTCCAATGTGCATGACACATGTTTTGCAGCCAGGCCTGCTCCACACATGTAGTCTATTCTGCAACTTGTCATGTCAACACCCTTAAAACAGCAGATTGTCATAGCAGAATCTACAAATGTCAAGAACGAAAGATATTCAATAGAATCAGAACAAACATGACTTTGATCCAAAGACTTCCCAAACCTCACTGCTTAATTACCTCCAATCTGCAAAGCACTTGCTTTGACATAGCTCCAAGCAAGCCTGTTTCTTATTTTCCAATATAACTTCTTTTAATCTCGTAGGATGCAAAGCTTAAGCACTATATATCCATGTTATGGTGCTAAATTCACATCTTTAAAACAGCAGATAATACTTAAGAAGGAATTTTTGTTCTTGGATTTATTACCCTTTTCAAATATACAGACTCCCAGGGAGATATGCGATGCACTTGCACAGAGTTATGCCCTACATCTGTGAACTTCTATTTATATAGTTGTGCTAAGCACAGTTCTTATATGCTATTTATCTTCAAAGCAGTAAAAATGATTGACTTGGCTTGGTAATTTATAATCCAAATGTGAACTGAAGAATGCCTAGGAGGACTCGGTAACAAGTTTATTGAATTCCGCCGGTGACATATTTGACTACAAATACACTATAAACGGAAGTGTTTCTTTTGTGATTTCATTTACATCACACATGATACTTCGCATATTATGAATGGCAAGGAGGCATGTGACCTTTTTTGAATCACACTTGGTTTTTGAGTGGTGAGGCTAGAACAAAAAGTGGCTTAACTATATTTTTAATTTCAATCTATTTTAAATTTAATTAAATATAGCTCATGTGATCACTTTTCTTATATGTAATAGTTTTCTTATTGTGTTTCATTTTGTTACAACGCGGCAGCAACTTTTGAAAACAACTCAGGCTATCCCAAGGCAACAAGGCTGTAATTTGACCCCTTCTTAAGGAGTCTTAAGAGGAATGAAGTGGTCAGCCTTATGCATCAATTATCTAAATATCTTTTTGGCTACTTGGCTCTGATTGTCAGGAATGGGGAATGATATTCCCTTAAAGGACCAGCCCAAAATATCAGGGAGCAGTAGCTAAGCAAAAACTGAGATGTTGAGACCTGAGATCTGGATATTTCCAATCTTCATCTCATCCTCCCAGAGCTTTAATGATAAACTATTACTGCCTTTTTAAAATGCTAATTATGAATTAAGCCACTTTTTGAAGAATTTGCCTTAGAACATAGTTGTGTTTTTCTGTTCCCCATGTATTTTTGAGGTGCATTACTTTATCAAGGGAAAGCTTTTACTTGATTCTAATGCAGCCTAAAGAGCTACACCAGATCACCTTATTCATAACTTTCTTAGCTGAATTAGAATTGAGGTTGTTCTAATTAGTTTCTTAGAACTTTTAAAAGCAAGTACATACTTTTCTCTTGATAGTGAGATGTTTCAAATGCACCGAGTACAATCGTGTGTGTGTGTGTGTGTGTGTGTGTGTGTGTGTGTGTGTGTGTGTATCTTACATGCCTATGGAGTAGATAAGCAATCTTCTTTTCCATCTTTTTTCATCTTGTACAACATTTTAGAGAGGATGCTGCTGCAGAAATAAATAGGGATGAATATCTCCAGGATCATTAGCCCAGACTCAGAAAACACCAACAAATGGCCTCAAAAGAAGATGCTCTGAATCCTGAATTTCCTGTATTGTCCAGATCAAAATCCAAATGAGAAATTCTCAGCTTCTCCCATCTGCTTTTGAGGATCTACAAATGTCATTTCTGGGAACCCATAGCCATCTCCTGGGTATGCTTTCCTTCTGCAACAACAGAGAAGCCAAAGTAGAACTTCAATAGCCTTTTTTCAAATGTTCTTTCTTCAGAACTCTTCCAATAAAAAATGCTAGCATTTGAGCAGTGCCTAGGTCTTATCAGTAATTTTTAAAGGGGCAGGTTGTGCCAAATAATGGGGGTCTGTGAAGAGGCAGAACAACTGTTTTCTTCCTTTGGGGATGATCCAAAAGAAAAGCATAAACCTGAATTATTTGGAGAAGGGAATTACATATCCTTTTGGTTTTTCCCTCCACTCTGTAAGTGGGAAAGAACGTGGGTCTTTGTTCCATTAGGGCACAACAAAATCTTCCAGTGGTTTAACTATTATCAGTTGACATGTGTTTGCAATTTGCATAAAAAATATTACTGAATTGCTAAATATCCTGCAATGGCTGTGGGGGAAGATACTTTTAGAAAACAGACTGTGGCATTTTCCTTGCCTGGGGATTACTTTTTCCTTTTATGTGGCCAATTGACATATAACCATCAAATATTCTACAGAGGGACCAAAACCATATGGTGATGTGGGTGAATAGTATAATATGGGCTGTTCAGTGGTGGGATTCAAATATATGAACAACCGGTTCTCTGTGTGGATGCCGCTTCCAGAAGTCCATTCTGGGCCTGGGCAAAAAGTATTAGCTACTGGTTCTCCGAACTGGTGCGAACTGGCTGAATCCCAACACTGACGCTGTTCTATTGTAATTATTTGGTAATGCAAAATAATCTCACATTCTTCTTTTTCATCTGGGAAGTTAAATAATTAAAAGAGAAAGTCTTTCATGTTTCATTGGCGATCATCTAGTGATAGAAAAGGGCTAATGCACATAATGTGCTAATGCATTTTAAAATTACCGTTATTTTATGTATCAGCATCTAAGATAATTGTGTGCATAACCAACAACTTACTCAAGTATTCTGTCCTTCATTCTGCCTCCTCAGTTTCTGATTCCCTGCAACCATGATTTCATCTTTCTGTCCTCCCAGCATATAATGAAGTCATTTTTGAATTTCTCCTAAATGCCAAGGATCCAAAATCCAGCATTCTGTATTCTGTAGATTCCCCCTATAGCTGTACAGGTAGTCCCCACTGAGCATCAATAACAAGTAGATCTTACTTAACAATGGATTTTTTGTTACTAAGCAAAACAGTCAAAAAGTGCTTTCTTTTAAGAAGAACTACAGAGTATTCTGTCCTCAAAAAACTATTGTGTCTTATACAGTTTCAATGGACCCAGCAATATGGATATATTTATTAAAGATATTCATCTTTCAAGAATCCTCTGATAGCATGCATATTTTAAATTTTCAGCACAAAATATATAGTTTAATAGGCATAACAACTGTAATTCCCCATTTTATATCTGTCAGTACCCTGAACTCTCAATATGTATTTTATTTGCAGCCATGCATTTTCTTTATTCTAATGCAAAACAGGCAGTGCTTTCGTTTAAGATACATACAGAGGGCCTTTCTCAAAAAACTATTGTGTTTATTTCAATATGGACCAGCCCTATGGATATATTTATTAAACTATATATGAAGTGCAAGAATGATCTGATAAGAATGCATATTTTAAATTTTCAGCACAAAATATATAGTTTAATAGGGAATAACAACATAAGTAAATACCTCATTTTCATATTCATGTACAAAATCCTGAACTCTTATACATGTATTTTTTTGCAGCCACAACACACATTTCTTTATTCAATGTTAGGCAGATGTATACATATATGAATAGAGAAATTTGTATTTCCAAGTATGTGTGTGTATATACTCTTTATTCCATACACTTTTTCCTCAGGGCTATTCAATATAATATTCAAATTAAAGCATACAATGCCAAATAAAATAGGCAGATATGCCAAAGCCCTTAAGAATTGATTTTATGCACTTAAGACATAATGCAGCTAAAGTTGCTTAAAGTTCTATTTTATGGATCTTAATATTCACCATATATTTGTCTATATTTGTTCATAGTTTCCTTTCTAAATATTTAAACCTGTGCCTGACCACATCATTATTTTAATCCAGTGCTTCACTTCCTATCTAAGTAAATTTGACTTGCAATATATAGTTGATATTTGATAGTCCTGCATCACTGGCAGCCTACCAATACTGGCATTTGTGAACAAGGATGCAGTTTTACTCTATACTGATCCAAGTTTTCTTTTCATTCATTTATTGAACCTTATTTTTAAGGAAGATGGAAGCCAATTTCAATCTGATTCGGTGACAAAAACACTGCCACTTTTACTTCAGATTGGGCTCTAAGGGTTCTATTTAGACTGACAGAGACTTGATTCCACCCATCTCAATGTCAATATTTTGTTTGTTCCTATAGAGATAGTCCTTGACTTATGACCATAATTGAGCCCAAAATTTCTGTTGCTAAGCAATACAGTTGTTAAGTGAGTTTTGCCTCATTTTACGACCTTTCTTGCTTAAGTCAGTCACTGCAGTTGTTAAGTTAGTAACATACAGTAGCTATTAAATGAACCGGGCTTCCACATTGACTTTACTTGTCAGAAGGTCATAAAAGGTGATCGCATGACCCCAGGTCACTTGCAACCGTCATAAATACATGCCAGTTGCCAAGCATCCAACGTTTGATATTGTAATGGTCATAAGTCACTTTTTTCAGTGTGGTTGTAACAGTCACTAAACGAATGAATGCAAGGCGAGAACTACCTACCGTATACTGCTATTCTTTCTTGCTCTTCAAGATCTTCTATCTCTGAGTAACTTATCATAAAGGTTTGTACCACTTTAAAATTCCTCAGAGGTAGAGTTCCTATTGGACTAGTCTTCTAATTTCACAACAACTTTTGTTTTTTTGTCCATAGGATTGGCAGGACAAGATGGGTTCAGTTTGAAACAAGCCACTAAACTGCTTTATCTTACACTCTAGCAACAATTAGGACAAGCAGTAAATGTCGTACTGTTGAAAAAAAATACAAAATTTCAAATTAAAAAGAAACCTTGATCGTAAGTCTGTTGCTTTCTTATATTTACCTTTAATACATTTACGAAATTCACACACTCCAACACATAATGAGGCATATTTTGTTTTTTAGCACAGCTTAAGCATTTTTCATAATGTGACTATTCAAGTAATGATTATAATCAGCTGCTCAAAATGTTTTTTGGAGCTGTACTTTAGTATGTCCCCTTATGCGCACATTGTACAATCAATGCATATAAGAGGAATTTAGATTTTTAGAACATAACTGAGGAAATCAGTAATTATTGCAATGAATGTTAATCTGGCCAAAGTACTTATTAAACTGCTTTGAAGATGAGACTTAGTCCTGTGACAGTATAATCAATAACACTTATAAATTAAGAGCCTGAAATGTACCATAAACTAAATCCCATAAATTAGGAATGTAATGTTTAAATAACATATGGTGTAAGTATTAAAACTAAAAAATATTCCTTTAAAAAACTCTCAAATTTACTATAAAAATAAGAAACTAATACAAAATATATACTCCATTTCAGTTTTTGCCTGAATATCAGTTTGGCCCCATTCAGACATGCTTTACATTTTTTAAAAAATGGTTAAAGATTTAGACAAAGCGATTTAATTTTAATTTAACATTATCTAATTCACAGCCAAGGTTAGACTCTAGAACAGTGTTTCTCAACCTTGACAATTTTAAGGCATGTGGACTTCAACTCCCAGAATTCCACAGCCAGCAATGCTGGCTGTGGAATTCTGGGAGTTGAAGTCCACATGCCTTAAAATTGTCAAGGTTGAGATCAAGGTTGAGAAACACTGCTCTAGAACTTCCACTATTTCACTGGAGAAAATAGTTTAGGTTGCAATTTTATATACATTTATTAGAAGAGCCCTTCAGACATTACTAGGCAAAAATATGCAGCATATAAAATTTTGCAGCAAGTCCCTAAGCATTTAATAGATAAAAATAGTGTTTCTCAATCTTGGCAATTTTAAACTCTGCGAATTTGCTGTCTAGTAAATTCTGAGATTTGAAGCTCTCACATCTTAAAATCGCCAAGGGTGAGAAACACCAGTACAGAAGATGCCAATGAAAACAAAAATGGTACAATTGTGAAGTTATCCATTCCGAGCAACTTACCCTTATTTAATTTGAGATGCAAATTCTTGCTCAGAGTTTAGACCCATAAGTCAATTTTTACAGGATCCAGACTCTCCTTGTGCAGGAAAATACAATCAATGGTATTCTCAGCAGTGCAATAAGTGTCAGTCACCCAGTTATTAAATCAGGCAACTACATAGCAAGTTGATAGCACTAGTAGTACTAACAATTCAACAGAGAGAGAAACTGATAAACAGCCATCTGTTTTACAAAAATTACATTCATCATCTTCACAGAAAGTACAAGATGACAAACTCTGCATCACCAGGGAGTTGTAGCTTTTCACTGTTCTTCTCCCTATTACGAACAATTGAAAAGCAAAGTTGTTAAGGCCCAACATTTCAAACAAACTATTATTCAATGATATTTTACATGCTGCTGAAACAATATCAGAAGCAAAACTATCATAAAACTTCACCATTGCACTCTGCCAGATTGTTGGGGACAATATCCTGATACTGTAAACCACCCAGAATGTGCTATAAAGCACTATGGAGCAATATATAACTCTAAGTGCTATTGCTATTGCTGTTAGGTATGATGCCCTAATTTCAATTTTCTATTTGGAGCAGATGAATAAAAGTCCTTTTTTTTACTATGTATCCATGAGTCTGAACTATTGCTAAATTTACTTGAAATAAGGAATGCTTTAAGTAACAAAATCATTCCTGTTTGAAGAAGAATTATATCCTAAAATATCAATCTTTCAGAAAACATAAATTTAATGGATGTTATGTTCCACCGAACACTGCCCTCTCCTCACCACCTCCCCCTTCTTCAAGTTTTAAGAGAATTAACATTATTTAAGTGCCTGTGGTTTCCAGTCATGCTTATTTCTCATGAAAAGTCTTTACTATAACAAATTGAATCTGGTCCTTCCTTAACATATAACGAACAGTTCATGTTTCCCACCTAAACTGCATACTTGAGCACTGAATGCATAAAAGTGATTGACACATACTGGGTTCATAATAATCCATCACAGTCACTGAAGCATCCTGGGTATTTGCCACTTTGAAGTCTCTCACAGCTGGAATAGCCACACAAACCTGTGTTTCGTTTAACTACAAAAAAAAGATAACTTTCAGAGAGGACTATATGCTTCCATAATGAATGCATATGAAAAACTAGATGTTTAATATTTTTTAAAAATAAACTTTCTATGCATCCATCTTTAACTGCATTACCCAGAACAGTAGATACAGCTATATATTTTCAAATGGCTGTCCTTTCTGGCAATCTTATCTGTAATTTACCAATAAGAATAGACATTGTGTTATAGAATCACAAACAAGAGCTGATTCACACACATAAACGCAACAGTCCATATCTGCTACAGAATCATGCTTACCAAAATTTATTCTTATTTTCCTACTTGTTTTTGAAAGTAAATATGGATAGATCAACTGCCTGTGATCAACTGCGTATTATCCTATGCCTGACCCCTTTTAGTTCCATACTGGAAGGATTGCTTAAACAAGCTATCACTTCCTGAATTGCTTTTCTCTGAGGCACAAATGTGCTAATTGTGTCCTTGATTAGCCAGCTTGCAGCTTCTGCCTGTAACTGACACTTTTGGCTTTTGATTGCCTTGTAAGCTCTGGAGCACTCAGTCCTGAACAGCTAGGCAAACAACCAACACCACATTCCTTTCAATGTGCATTCTCCATTGTTTACCGCCTATTGTCTTGTAATCCCTTCCTGTCAAGACAAACATCAACTTTCCTCTTGTTAATTATTTCAACACTGGCATGAGCATTCCAAAAGGTGAGGATTAGGGGAAAAAAGGGCTATAAAATTTGCCCTTTCATCAGGCTTCCTTGTGAGTCACATTCTGGAAACCTTCCCCACCTTTTGGGCTCATCTGTCTGTTTGTTCATATCCTTCTGACACTGTAAAGCAAAGAAAAACTGAAGTAAAATCATAAGCACCGTCATAGTCATATGATTTTCCACTTAGTGACTGGGTTGCTGAATGAGGACTAAGCTAAACTAAACCAGTTACGTTATACTTATTGGCTGAAGTTGTGACCAACAACTCTGTTGCTCAACAGCAATGTCTTTAAGAACAATATCATGTGAACATGATTTGTAACTTTCTGCAGGCTTTCCCATTGACTTTGCTTATTGGAAACAGGCTGTGAAGGTTGCAAACAGCAATCATGTGACTACAAGACTGCATAAGTGAGCACTGTTGCCAAGCACCCAAATTATGACTTCCAGTGAAAAAATGACCCACTGACTGCACACCCAGGGAAGGATCCCTGAAGGATCTTTTCTTACCTTTTTCAACCACCAACAGAAGGAACCAGCATTCCTTTAGTTTATATGACTCTCCAGAGTTAGGGGAAAGTCCTAGAATTATCCCTCAAGATCCTCCAATACAGCAAAGGTCTGCAAGTAGCTTCAGGAGCTGCGCTTCAAAGCAGCCTGCATGCCAAATCTGGGCTGCAAGTTGTTGAAGAAGCAGCTGTTTTGGAATTTATTTTTCAAATGGACAGTAAAGTGTACCTTTCATATCTTAATCATTTTAAGGACTATTCATCTTTATTAAGCTAAAAGAGTCTTTCTTTAGCAACAGCCTGTTACTCCTTTTTGAAGATCTATGCTATTTTGGGGATTTCTTCAATGTTAAACAATAAGGAAAAAGGCTGCTAAGGCAAGCAAAAATAAGGAAGTGCGGAGTATCTTTTTTTTAAAAAAAAGTTAAGGGAGAAACATAAGGGTAGAAAGTTGTGGTTGTAGTTTATTATTTTCAGTAATATGTAGCTTGGTCTGCTTTGCTCTAGGTGACTAATTATGTTTTTTATTTGGATATCACTTCTGGATTTTGTGCTTGTGATGAAAAAAAAAATGAAACTTTGACTTTGGTTTTGCCAGTTAGATAAATTTGTTGTTATAGAAATGGCTAGTTATATACTAATATATAAAAGTAAAAGGTTGAAGCTGGAATGTTATCTTGTACTGTGCTAAAAAGAGTCGGAAGTCAATGCTTTTTTTCTTCTCTTGTATCTCATATTTTCTTTCCCCCTCTTTTTCGTTCCCTTAATTTCCTATTTTTATTTCTATTTTATATACTGATAAAACAACAGAAGTCATTAAATGAAGCCAAGCACTCAAATCATGATTATATAATTGCCATTTTGTATCTTTTTTTTTTACTATTTATCTCCAGAAATGCGAAACATGCAACTTTATGGACTGGTTGAGTCACTTTTTAGCATTACTATAACTTCAAATGGTCACTAAACAAGTGGTCATTAAGCGAGGACAACCTGTACGATGTGAATCCACGTTTTATGCCTCTATCTTATACTTTATTCTTCATCCTGAGTAAACACACAGATGCTTGCACTATTAGTGTGCTTAATCTTGGCACAGTATGGTCCCCAAACAGAAAAACCAAGTTGGCTATAGCACTTCTTCATACCTGTTTCTCTTTTCCTTAACTATGAAGGCTTCCAATCAGAGCCTATAACTTAATAATTTTAATTTAGTCTTTTCACCCTTAAACATCTATCTCTACATATTCTTACAATGCTTGCCCAAACTTACACAAGTGTACTTCATAAAATACGGCCTCCCCTAAATGAACTGGAGGATTCCAATTAAATTGCCTCAAAATTTTGTCTACAGTGTTGACAAAATGTAATGTTTATTTTAAATGATAAATTTTAAAAAACCCTTTCATAATTTTAGTTTTTGAATCAAAGTTTCATTATCATTCTTATGTATGTTCTTATTTCGACTTACAGAGTCCAGATATAAATGGATTTTGCCTTCATCTTTTTCCACCTTTTTCACTGGGTCATCTAATGACACAAAATTGGGTGACAAAGAGAAGCCACTCAGTAATCCAATCTCCATGAGAGCCATGCCAGTTCTTGAAGATGAGCCCGTGCCCAGATATCTAATGAAGAAAAAAGAACAATTTACATAGAAATAACTGCGTGTGTATATAAGCACGCAATGTTATTAATCAGTATAGAATTAAAGTACGGACATTGAAAAGGCCCCTCCGTTTGTACTGGAGGAAAATAAAACTATAGAAGAACATAAATAACTACACACTGCAATTTTATTTATAATGTTTCTATATGTAGGATTGTAAGCCCTCCAGAGTTATTCTGTGGTAAGATGGGCGGCCTATAAATTTTAAAAATAAAATACATCACTCCCCCACCCATTTTAAAGGAGACAGATATCTAAATAAAAAACAAATACTGATTTCCAACTGTAACATTATGACAGGAATTACCGAGAGGACAAGTGAAGTGAAAGCATCAAACAACAATGACAAAAGTTCTTTAATGGCATGTCAGAACACACCCATTTAACATGAACAGGAAATTTCTGCTATAAATTTTCAACAAAGCACCTCTCAGATTTGTGCTCTGAATGCTGGGGAATTGAGTAAAACAATTATTTCTTGTTATCAGGTAGTCCTCAACTAATGACTACAATTGGGACCAGATTTTCCATTGCAAAATGTTACATAACTGATTTTATCACCTTTTCGCTACAGGTTTTAAGTGATTCACTGCCACTGTTAAGTGGCTGGCTTGCCTCAATCAGAAGCAAGCTGGGAACACCGCAAATGGCAATCACATGACCCTGGGATGCTGCAACCATGGTAAATACATTTATCAAGTGCACAAAGTTTGATCATGTGACTATGGGATGTTGTGGTATTCGTAAGTGGGGGACCAATCATAGGTCATCTTTTTCAGTGCTGTAGTAACTTCAGTCAGTCACTAAACAAATGGTTACATCAAGGACTACCCATACGGAGGAAATTTACAAAAAGACTCACTTGCCTAAGCAAAGCTCTGAGTCTGGAAGCATGAAATCACTAAACACAGATCATATTTGGATAGGAATTCAATACACTCTAAGAGCAGAACAATCATGTAAGATCAGAGCAAAGCACATGCTCCCAATTCTTGCCTCAATGAATATAGGAGAATTTGATAGCTAAATTAATCTCTTAATAAAAACATTTGCAATGATAAAATAATTAAAGTAAGTAATAATAAAAACACCCAATAATTAATATTAAATAATAATATTAGAGATAAGAGCCGTGGTGGCACAGTGGTTAGAATGCACTACTGCAGGCTAACTCACTGTTCATGCCAGGAGCTTGATCCTGACTGGCTCAAAGTTGATTCAATCTTCCATCCTTCCGAGGTTAGCAAAATGACGACCCAGATTGTTGGGGACAATATGCTGGCTCTGTAAACCGCTTAGAGAGAGCTGTAAAGCACTGTAAAGAGATACATAAGGCCAAGTGCTACTGCTATTTTATATCAAACCAATATGAAAAAGGAAAGCCAACGAAATGACTGGCCTACATTGTGTTCAGGGGAATGCCAAGTTTTTATTGGGGGACAAGTATATTTATTTATTCTTTATGCTGTAAGTTTTTTTTTTTTTTTTTTTTTTTATTGAAATTTTTCAAAAGTTTTACAAATAAAAATCCACCCCCCCCTCCCCAACCACCCCACCCCCCCCCCGACTTCCCAGAACTGAATATAATTATTTAACAAATATTTTAAAAATAACATTTGCAATTTATAAAATAATTAATAATAATAATAAAAATCACAATAATAATATATATAATAATAATATAGATAACATAAACTTTAAAATGAATAATATATACTAAAAATAAAAAAATATATATATATATATAAAAAGAATTTGAATAAAAAGAAAAAGAAAGAAAGAAACAATCATTACAAATTATAAAAAGGCTAGATAATATTTTTCCATATCCAAATTATGTTGTATAAAATTTATCCATTTTTCCCATACCGCAAAAAAATTTTCTTGAGATTGCTCCTTTAAGAAAGCCGAAATCTTTGCCATTTCTGCCAAATACGAAACTTTATGAAACCATTCTTGTAAAGTAGGCAAAGATTCCTTCTTCCAATATTGTCCTATTAACAACCTAGCGGCTGTAATCAAATTTAACATCAATATAACCTCCTTAGCATCACAGTCAATAACAATACCTAGTAAAAATAATTGCGGAGTAAATTTTACCCTCTTTTAAAAATTCTTTGAATATTCCACCATATCTTAATCCAAAAAGCTTTTATATGCTTACACGTCCACCAAATATGGTAATAGGTAGCATCCAAATATCCACATCTCCAGCATTTCGGCTGTAGATTAGGGTACATAATGGACATTTTCTTTGGGTCAAGGTGCCATCTATAAAACATCTTATAAAAATTCTCTCTTAAATTTTGCGCTTGTGTGAATTTAACATTTCTTATCCAAATAAGTTCCCAAGTATCCATTGAAATCGTTTCACCAATATTCTGTGCCCATTTAATCATACAATCTTTAACTAGTTCAAGTTCTGAATCTAATTCCACTAAAACCCCATAAACTCTCTTAATATGGGTTGGCCTTTGATCTCTTACTTGTTTTAAAAAAATTTCATCTTCTCTAAGCCAGCCCATTTTACAATCCATCTTCCATCTATCCACTATTTGTCTATATTGGAACCATGAATAAGTTAAGTTTTCATGTGTTAATTCTTCCAAAGATTTTAACTGCCAGTCTTGGCCATCCCATCTTAATAACTGTACGTAAGAGACCTTGTCCATATTTACCCCTTTCCTTATACCTTCTATGGCATGCCGAGGTATAGCCCATAATGGTATTTTGAAGTCACTTTTATAATACTTTCTCCACACTCTTAGCAAAGAGTTTCTTATAATATGAGACTTAAAAACCCAATCCACTTTTTTATTAAATATTAAATAGGCATGCCATCCAAAAAATAGGTCCCAGCCTTCCAAATGAAGTATTTCTGTATTTGTTAAATTCACCCAGTCGCTAATCAATGTCAATACTACAGCATCATAATACAATTTCATATTTGGTACCTTGAGTCCACCTCTCTCACGAAAATCTTGCATTATTTTAAGTTTCACCCTTGGTTTTTTCCCTGCCCAAACAAATTTATTAATACCTTTTTGCCATTCATCTAAATTACGTTCGTTCTTTAAGATAGGTAACATTTGAAACAAAAAAATAAACTTTGGCAGGACATTCATTTTAATAACTGCAATTCTGCCCATAAGGGATAACTGTAAATTATTCCAGTTTTTTAAATCCTTCTGTACCTCCATCCACAGCTTTTCATAATTATTTTTATACAATTTTACATTAGAAGCAGATAATGTAACCCCCAAATATTTTACCTTATCAACAATTTCAAAGTCTGTTAAGTTAACTAAAGCCTGTTTATCACCATTAGTCATGTTTTTAGCTAATATTTTGGTCTTATTATTATTAATTTTAAAGCCAGAAACACGCTTTATGCTGTAAGTTTATATGGCTGCCTATCTTAATCATATCTGTGTAGCTAGTAAAGGCATAAAAACAAAAACAGGTCTTTAACAATAGTAAAAAGATGCCAGGTAAAAATACAGAAGTCATTCGGTGCAAGACTAAAGCACAAACTAAGCTGTATATACCCTAAAAGCCTGAGGGAAGAACTTGTGAACTAAGCTGTCTCTTTACAGTAGATTTAACTAAGCTTTAACTCTGGTAGGAGTTTTTGATTCATTCAATCGTTCGTTCATTCATTTAGAAAACCTGGCAAAATATAATGGAGTGCTATGAATAAACTTTGATTTCTCTGAAATACCTTAAGATATATTAGTTAAAGGGAGAATCAGCTTAAAATCATTTTAAAAATTGTAAATAAAAGGTAATTACTTACCTGGTACACACATTTAAAGTTAAGCTGTTTATGTCTTCTTTGTCATCCTTTACATAGACATCTAAGTCAAAAGCTTCTTGATTTTGTGCAGATCTACGTCTTTTGCTGGTATGTGAATGAATTGTATTGTACATAACATTGAGCTATAGAAATGCAAAAATAAAAAATGATGATATTCAGTGAAGAAAGCAGTGATTTGTAGAAAAGAGTAATAATAGCTATTTCATAGTTTATCAGATTAAATTCATATATGCAATACTGTGACATGCAATCAAAAAATAAATGTGGGATATTTTGCATCCTTTTCTGAAATAAAACTTTCAGTTTCAAGTTCTCAAAACAAATCTATCAAAAGTGCTTCAAAACAACAAATCAAACATGCTTTCTTCTGATTGGACCTGCTGTGAACGTGGTCAAATCAAGTTGGAAATAAATCAAAATGTTGTCATCGCCCAAAATGCTATTGTTTCAGTATCTGCCAAGAAAAGCAAAATGGTAAAAATTTACTGGCAATTCAGGAACATCTGGATCAACATACAGGATAGCCTCTTAAACAGCTATTTCACTGGAAGAAATTTTATGTTCGATTTTTCATTCCTTCTTGGCCCTAAACAAAGATGAACTCATGAAGAAAGAAAAGCCTACAAAGGAATGATCAAGCATGCTTTCAGCTGGGTCCAACATCAACTCAGTTTTCTTACCCAGCCTGGCCTGCTGCAAACAGGACAAAGCAAGATATGCTGTCATAGGCAGAAAGAATTTTACCAACGCAATTTAAAAGGTATCTTGATATGACAATTTAGACGGGAGTGGTGGGAGATATGCATGCAACATATAACCATATATTCACTAGCTGGTACACTCATAATGACTGACATCTTGGCTTATACTCATACATGTCAATATGTAATTCTGGAAACTACAAAACATCATTCAAGATGTCTGGAACCTCTGACACAATTCATACACATTTGCCTACTCCTATGTCAAATCACACATCTTTCCTTAAAGACTCACTTCTGTTATGGAAACACTGATTTCCCTAGGCTATGCATCTACTGCTTTTATGATTGATTGTGAATAAGATTGTGTGAGTATTCCACATCTGAGTCAATGACTCAATTAAACCAATTGCAATACCACCTTTTTTCTTTTTTTAAAAAAAATTGATTTTTGCTGCTGAACTCCAAAACTAGAAAGATACGCCAACTACATTTTTCTAAAGGGCATAGTCTCTCATTTAGTTAAACAATAATAGTGTGGTGCACTTTTTGCATCAGTTTTTATATCAGTTTTATGTTGCGATTAAGCATTCTTGGAGAGATGCAAATAGCTATCTGCAAGTAAAAAGAGGGGAAAATCCAAAGCCATGAACAGGAAGATTATTAGCTGGTTATCAGAATTATCTGATTAAAGGCAAACCACTCCCAAAAATCTTGTTAAGAAAACTGCATATGCCTGTCTACGTAGTTGCAAGAAACAAGAATGACATTAATTTATTTTAAAAAATTTGCATTAGTAGTAATTATGCATTCATATTTGCAGAAATTTTACCTTTGTACTATGTACAGTTTTGTCTTCTACTGTTCATTTAATATGTTACTAAAATGTGCAATTTTACCACAAATGCTAAATTTATGCCTGTGTACATATATTTTACATGTTATAAATTTATACATTTGGATTTCTGTAGTAAAAGCTCTTCATAGTCAGGTAAAACATTGCAAACTTGGAAGCTCGAGCAAACTTTAAGTAAATCAGAAAGTGAATATTCTCCTTAGCATGTCATGTCCAGGTTCATTTTCAAAAACACTTGCCATTTTAAAATTCATCTTTCTCATCTACCTACAATTCTTGTTTATTGCATACAGAAAGAGCAAAATTTTACCTAAGTGAATAGGAGGTAGTTTAGTCTTCATGAAAGATGCTCGAAATAGAATGTTTAACACACATAATGTTTAACATACATATTAAACCACAATACATGTTGATTTTGGTTTAGTGTGGTATGTGAACCTAGTTATTCTACTTGGTAAACTATGGTTATGGCCAAGCCATATAGATGTAAATTTAGTTACTGTGGCTTAAACCAAGGATAAAATTAACCTTGGCTTATCATAATGCATTAACGTGGCCTTAGTTTTGCCAGTTCTTGATTGGAAAGAATCTCTAATGCTTTTCCAAGATTAATGGCAGGAAGATGGTATTCTTCACATTTATGAAACTGCAAGACTTCACACTTCTGGAACTACTTTGCTTCAACAATTATTGAAAACAAGGAGCTTTCTTGTGAAAGCATTATTAAAAAAATATCAAAAATTTGGAAAATTTCCTTCAGCCCAGAAATCTTTACTCTCTTGTGTTTATCCTTATGGCTGGATCTTAAACAGATATCTGGATGAAGGTTTATGTTAAAGGGTTATTTTCATTAAGAAATTTTTGGCAGCATTTTCTTTGGCTGCTGCATTAAGCTTTGAGGAAGAAAAGAGAATGCTAATGAGCTTGCATTTTAAAAACTGAACTTCAGCAGGTATGAGAATGGGTGGGAAGATTCACACATTCCTGACTTGGGTTTTACTAAAACCCTAATGTCAAATAAAACTAAACTGAATAAAACTAAATAAAAACTAAACCGAATTTATTCACTTGCTTCAGGAATGAAACACACACACACATTAAGCCTGCTAGTGTCTCATCAGGCCATATTTTTTCACTTTATTGGCATATATAGAATTGAAAAATCAGGGCTGCTAACCAGACTGAGAGCTGAAAAATATCTCTGAAGAGGATAATTGGAAATCACCTTGTTGACAAAAAAAATGCAGTAAGACAGACTCAAACCAGATACAGGACCATCTTTATTTTTTAAAAGTTGAATGAATAGTTGTTTTCCTTATATCCTGGAGAGCAGTCTGTATGTTTATCAACAGTAGACACATAGAAAGCATAATTCTGTTTTATCCAGGGGACATAAAGGTGAGGGGTGCTAGATGTTACCTAGTTTGGGTAATGAAATATCTGCAAGAAAACAATCAAGCTCAGAGAACACCAAGGACCCCTCATTTCAACCCTGAGCTACAGATATTCTCCTTTATTGATAAAGATTCAGACTATTTGAGCATCCATTTAAATTTCTGAATCCAATTAAAAGGACTTATTTACAGTTGCAAAATAATGAAAAATATATAAGATTGTTTGAAAAATCAATTTTATGGAAAAATGTACCAGAACTGGCCTCTCTCTTGGAAGTGGATGGTCATTAGATTTTGCTATGTAATATAATACACTATCCAGAAGAGATTCAAAAAATGAAATGGAGTTCTTAAATGACATGATTCATTCTTGCCAGATGTTTAAAAAACTTCTCTCTCCCATTTTTCTACCCAATCCTGTATAGGCATAAATCAGGAAGTCTATTGCACTTATAATGAATAGCTAGACATGGCTGAAGGATTGCTTTTGACTTGAATTACAACTGGTAGCATTGCCATTGCTAACTCTAAATGAAGAGGAAGGTTCTACTTTACACATGATGTAATGACAGTAAAATACATTATTGCTTCAATTCATCTACTCATAAATTCCAAATGTGATCATTCTTTATAGGCTGCTCGCATGAAATTCATATAAGTCATGCAATGTTAATTGCTGTTGTTACCAGCAATTATTGCATTCTGCATTAGTACAGATTTTTTTTTAATGGGAATGTCACATATCACTTCAAGCATATTGATATCAACTCTAATGTTAAGAGTATTTTACTAGAAAAGGGTAGGTTGCTTGGTCTGACTATAAATCAGTCATAAATTATATTATTATTAATTTATCTGTCTATTTTTTTTAGAGTAGTTAAATCCCGATAACAAACTGCAATCATTCTTAAAGGATGGGGCATTAATAAAAGAACAAGAATGGCAGAGTTTAATGCTCTCCAGGCTAGAGGTTATGCCTTAGGATGCTTTAGGAAGAGCGATCCTTCGGCTTGCAAAGGTTTTCCATACAGAACAGCTGTGTCATAAATGAGAAAACGCTGGCTGAGTAGTCTCTTAATAAGAGTTATGGCAAAATTTAGAGTGCTGCACCTACATGTGGAAACAAACCATCTTCCACTCCAGGTACCGTGGACTATATGATTTGTGGTTATACAGAAATGGCTCTTTGGATAAGGATTAGAAGTTCTGTTTCACTTAGCTTATCTACTTATTGAGCTAAAGCAGAAAAATAATAATTACTTGGATAATAAATCACTGCCCTTTGCTTGAAAAGTTTCTATAACAGCCCATTGTCCTCCAGAAGGAAAGGGAATAAATAGTCTTCAAGAATGAAAGGTAATCTATTATTTTCCCATTTCCTTATTTAGTTAAACTATGTATATGCTGTCCTTTCTCTTTATGGCCGTTATCAAAAGATATACGGTAGTCCTCGACTACCATTCATTTAGTGACCATTCAAAGTTACAACGGCACTGCAAAGAGTGACTTATGACTGTTTTTCATACTTACAACCATTGCAGCATCCCCCGCGGTCACGTGATCAAAATTTGCCCGCTTGGCAACTGGTTCATATTTATGACGGTTGCAGTCAACTGGGGGTCATGGGACCAGCTTTTGTGACCTTCTGACAAGCAAAGTCAGTGAGGGAGCCAGATGCACTTAACAACTGGGTTACTGCCTTGTCAACTGCAGCGATCCACTTAACAACTGTGGCAAGAAAGGTCATAAAAACTAACATAACAACTGTCCCACTTAGCAACAGAAATGTTGGGGTCAGTTGTGGTCATAGGTCAAGGACTACCTGTAACAAGTGAAAATATGAAATGTACCTCAAAAACATTTAGAGTAGTGGTTCTCAGCCTGTGGGTCGGGACCCCATTTGGGGTCGAACGACCATTTCACGGGGGTCGCCAAACAACGCAGTCCACCATTTTTTCCCCCTTTTCCTTAGCTGTGCTACTCCCTTTTATTCTATTGGCTTTTGAAAGCCAATAGAATAGACTCTCTTGAATAGAGTCTAATTCTATTGGCTTTCCAAAGCCAATAGGAATTGTCAAGGCTGTCTCTGCCCTGCTGAGCCCGCCAAAAGCCCCATTCTGCAAACGGTGCTGCACCAGTTGAGTAGTCCTCAACTTACGACCGGTTGAGTAGTCCTCGACTTATGACCGGTTGGGGGTCGCGGCATTAAAAAGGTTGAGAACCACTGATTTAGAGCCTCAAAAACCAGTAGACTGAACGCACTCAGGGCTGGCCTCTCAAAAGGTGATTTCCTCAGCTGATAAGACTTTAAGTTTCATTGTGACCGCTCTGAACTGGGTCTGGGAAGCAACTGGCCACCAGTGAAATTGTTCCAAGCCAGGAGTAACATGGGACCTCCAGGAGACACCACTCACTATGGATGAAGCCACTTTTCTGTAGTAACTGCAATTTTCATTCTTGGGAACTGCTGCTAAAGAAATGCATGGTAATAAATCAGCCTTGAGGTTATCATTGCATGGATTTGATGATTCTTTATCAGCGAAAACTGCTGTGGCTCTCCAAGGTTAATGCTAAATCCAGAAGACCCACTAGGCTGCTAAATTGATTCTTAAGGGAGTCTCCTTCTAAAAGAAGCATTACAGGCAGTCCTCGATATACAACAGTCCATTTAGTTCAAAGTTATAACGGCAATGAGAAAAGTGACTTATGACATGGCAGCATCCCGATGATCATGCGATCAAAATTCGGACTGACTCATATTTATGTCCCGGGATCGTGAGATCACCTTTTGCGACCTTCTGACAAGCAAAGTCAATGGAGAAGCCAGATTCACTTAACAACCGTGTTACTAACTTAACAAATGCAGCGATCCACTTAACAGCTGTGGCAAGACAGGTCGTAAAATGGGGTAAATTCACTTAACAACTGTCTCACTTAGCAACGGACATTTCGGGCTCAATTGCGGTCCTAAGTTGAGGACTACCTGAATTTGCCAAATCCTGATATCCAACTCCCAGCGTTATTCATTGCCATGTCTTATTTTATTCCTTCACATCTAAGTCCAGTGTCATCTGGAGACATTCAGAGGCCCTAGAAACTTTAGACCTTAAGTCTATAAAAAAGGAAAGGAAAGCTAAGTATTATCAGCATATTGGTGGTTTCTGGCTCTCAACTTGAGAACGACACCGCTATGTGATTTCGTATTGGAATCAAACAGAATTTTCCCATCTTTAACCATACATGGGAATGTCTGATATTGTCCTCAAATCCTACAGGCTGCAATACTACTTAAAAAATAGATAAATATACAGTAGTATCATATACCTATAGACAGTTGATTAGGTAAAACACCCTCTTTTTCCATGTGGTAATTACAAATACAGGATTGTATATGTTTGGGTCTATGCATTTGGCATCTAATATTTATTTATATTTTTCTTAAAAATGTTTTAAGTTGTTAATAACATGATAGCACATCAGTTTTTTTAAAGTAAGCTTGCAATATTTTTGCATGTGTAGACAACTTCTAGCAATCTGACTGCGGTTAAAAACAATACCAGCTGAGTCCACCACTGTCAGATATGATGGATGAGCAATTTTTTGCCTGCTGCGGTATTTTCAAATGTCGGCCTTTATAAATGGACCTGAAGTTATTATCAAATCTATATTTTTTTTCGTAAAAATAAATACGATTTCTGAAAATGCATACACCAAAATAAGAGCATTTTATAACAAGCCCAGCCCTCTCTGAAATTTTATACATAACCTATTCTTCAAATTGTGTTTGTGGTCCATTACAGCTCTTACATTGCTAATGTCACGTATTCTACTGCTTATTTGTACTGGATTCTAATCAATGTGGAATTTGGCTCATGCAATCCAATCGTTTTACAAGGATTAAAGATAAAAAGATGTAAAACTGGCCTGGAGTTTCTATGCTAACTGGATTCTGTGTCCCTGGCATCCCTTTGATCCACAGAGAACACCATTTCCTTTGACAGGAGTCCAAATATGGAGACAGGTCTCACATGCCAAGATACTTTTGTAAATTGTTTTCATTCTCCTTCTCATCTTCCCCTGGACTACCAGACAGTATTTGATTTGCTATGTTGGGTAGCATGTCAGAATTGGACAAAAGAACAATATGCTACTGGCCGACAAGAGAATGACTTGCATACATTTTGCCAGGGTTAAAAAAGTAAGATATATAATGAACACTGAAAAATCTAAGCAGAGAAGGGAAACAGGAGACCTCCTCTGGAAAATCAAGTGACTATTTTTAAACAGAAAGGCTGAAGAAAGGGAAGAAGACACTGCTCCAAATAAGGAATTGCATGAAAATTAGAGCTAACACATTCCACACTATTTATAAGGAGCCCATGATTATTATACTGAATTATGGACTGGGCAGATTTTTATAAAGGACAATACTTCAATATTAATAGTAGTGATGTTCAGGATTTTCTGAAAGCCACTGTAGATCCAAAATGAAGTTAACAACATGTCTGTCAACAGAGTTCATTTTTATGAACTGCAGGCTATGCTGCAGTTCAGAATAAAACTGTTCACATCAGGAAGTCTTGTTGCTGATTTAGAAGATCCATCCTGTACATAAATATTAATCTTAAAGTGACATTTAACAGCATCCTAATGCTACTACAATTATCCTCTGGGAAAACACTATTCACACACAGTAATTAGAATCAAAACTATACTTTTCAACATGATAGGTACATTGGGCCTGTTACATAATTATTAGAATTAATAGAATTCTATTAATATAGAATTGCTATATTAATATGATATTGATAATCAGAGCAGGTTAAAAAAAGACTAAACAAAAAAATAACATATGGAGAAAATAATCTAAAGTAATAAAGTCATAAGAACAGCTCTGATTTGATTCTAGATCTAGTTTGTACTCAGTATTGACTCTACCCTTGATAATTTAAATATTATCCAACCAAATGGAGTATCTAATTCAATACAAAATCCTTAAGAGAAAGAAAAGGGACAAAAATTATTATATATTCCTACCTGAAAAATAGCAAAACCACGGCCACTTGCAGAAATTGTAAGTGTAACAGGCTGTGCAGCTGGAAACTAAAAGAAATGGCAGATTTGAATGTGTTCAGAAAAACATTCCAAACTAAATGAATTGCCTGAAATTAAACTCTTTTTTTTAACTACAGTACCTCTTTGGTCTTGAGAACAAAGCGGTTTTCATGATCAATTTGGAAAACAGTTGGGTGTTCTTCCATGGATGTATTCACTGTCACATCTATTTCTGTCACAGAATCAGCTATGAGTGTCGCAAAGGTACTCAAGGCCTGCAGAGCCACTATAGTGTCCTACCCAGAGAAGAAAGAACTGTCCTTGTTAATATGAACGTGGATGAAGTAAGCAGGTCAATCAGGTGAGCAGGCAGCACCTAAGGAAGCCTGGCTGATTTCAGAAGCTAAGTAGGTACAGATCTGGTTAGTACTTGGATGAGAAGTTATCTGGAAATCCTGGTGCAATAAGCCATACTGTCATTTTTTAAAAAAAAGTCTTCTTCACATAGTCAGTCCAAATGCTGATTTAAGTATTGTACTTTATTATTAGAAAGGGCAGAGTGAGCAGGTACAGTAGTTATTCATGGCAGCAACTATAGTTTTATCTTGCCAGGCACACATTTACTCACTCAGTAACTCTTACAAAAGTAGGACAAACTTAATTTATGATAATTTGATTTGGTTTGGCTTAACACAGTGCATGAGCTCAATCAGTGGGGCTTTATCATATCAGAACCAGGTCATTCTTGCTTGTCTAATAAAGCACATTCACAAAAAGCTTATCTTAGCAATGTGCATAACATTGCATAATAACCCATAACATTGCTTTGGTGCAAAGATATGAACTTAGGTCTTCCCAAGCCCAAATTCAACTTTCTGGCATTTTTAAATAAGATTGATGAATCAAGTGCAACTGGCCCATGTAGAAAATTAACTGAATCTTTGGCACGCACACAGAGTAGAAGGTTCTGGCTGGCTTCCTTAGACTAGAGAATCAAAATCTTTTCTAATTGTTTCAAATTGTTTTTTGAAACATTTATATATAAATTTCTGGCAGCGCAGAAGGCCCTAAGTGTGTTCAAATTTCACACCGTGCTTGGCAGATTCCTGGTTCAAAATTTTAAATAAAAATAATGCATCTCTGGGGCTATATAAAATTTTAATGATTAATTTTATAAATGCCTGATAATTAGTTTCCTTGAGATTATTTCTAACCTGCGTAGAAGAATAACCTCCCAGGTGATTTCTTTGCTTGCTTAGCCATTTCATAATTGGAATCCCCTCTAACAGTCTTTGTTGAATAAAATGAGACAAGAGGGCATAACCTGCAACTTCAATATCTGCAGAACGTGGCTGCCAGGAATTGGAGAGTCCAGAAGATGGTGATGCCCAGAACCTTAGTTCTCCTGGGAAGAAAAAAAGAAAGAAAGAAGCTTTCACCTCATAAGAAAAAGATACAACTTTGTAAAGTCGGAAGAGTTTATTCTTCTGAAGCTTTTTTTTTTTTTGGAGCAGATGAATCCTATAGTTTCTCATATTTAAAGATAACTATTCTCACCCACCCCCAAAATCAATTTCACATTTATCAAATTAATAAACTAGAATTTGTTATACTACATATGTCTGTCTGTCTGTCTGTCTGTCTGTCTCTCTCTCTCTCTCTCTCTCTCTCTCTCTCTCTCTGTAGTACTATAGCTTTCAGCTGTTTGTTCACTGGCAAGAAATGAAACTGGCTGAAAAAAATCCATTTCTGAATTACAACCCTCTCTTCTACTTTGGCCACAGCGATGACTAGATATTCAATTCAGTGTATAGCATGGCTCCCAACTGGTGAATTTTCCTGCTTTTGTTTATTCTCAACCATGCCAGGAAAGCAAGCATCCGTTATTTTCTCTTCCGTCTTTAAGTTGCACTTAATAATTTCATTTGGACTAGAAGGAGAAACTTGATAAAACTCTTGTCAATGACACCCAGTTAAAAAACAAAGAAATGGCCAGCATTTTCCAAACCATCTGCTGAATTTAAAAAACAAACAAACATACAACTATGACAGAGGAATGGTTGCCGAAGATAGTAGCAATTGCTGAGATGATCAAATTGGCCTGTGTGATTAGAGAAAATACTACTTTTTTTACTCCATTTTACCTTGTATTAGTTTTTAACACTTGTTTTTAAAACATTCACTAAGATTATAGTAAACAACACCACTGCAACTATGGTTTCTCATCACTTGAGCTGCGAGGAAAAACTTGGCAGAATACTTGTCAGTTCAAACAAATAGACAGTTTCTGCAGACAGAATACAAAATGGTGATCAAAGGGAAAAAATGGAGTCTGAGGACATGGATGTAACCCATCCTGAACACACTCCAGCCATTTGGAACAGAGATATTCATATAAGATAGAAGGAAGCCCAACAAGCAGAGCAGACTTCCCTGCTTGTACAAGAAAAAGAGGGGGAAAGAAAACCATTCATTTTGATGGAATTTTGAAAATTCAGGTGAGGTTTGCCTTCTCACATGATGAGGGATGGGCTGAGGACAATATCATCTGTTCCAATCCTCCCCAAATAGTAGACAGTCCATTCTCATGTTGGGGTAAGCAGGAAGAGCAGACCAGCTCATAATCAAACAAGACCCATTCCCATTGTATAGGTTTTCAGGCCTGTTTTTCACGTTCACATTTCAGGCCAGCTTTGTAGTTAACACTTGCTATTGCCAAAGTGATCTCTAAATGCAGGCTTGTTTGCTTATTATAGATGTTTCCTTCCCCACAGATATGCCATCATATCATTGCATCCCACATATATATGCTAATTGGAAATACATTCTCTATGACCCGATTGCTCCAAAAATATCCACCATGATATCAGCAGCTGTGGAGAAACACTCAGATTTACAGGAGTCCCTAAAGAAAAAAGGGACATTCTTTAAGGAAGGCAGCCAAAAATAGCCCAATGAGAAGTGTACATATCAGGATGGGAAGCAAATACCTTAATAAGAACATGACTCACTGGCAGAAATCCTGCTTAGGTATCCTACTTAAGAATGTGGCAAAACAGGTGACCTTGGAGGTTTGCTGATCTTTCAGAATGTGAGTTAGTAAAACCTGCATTTTGTGATAAATATTGTACATCAAAAAGAACACACGAATTATAAAAACTTCCTGTTGGAATGTGCCATTTAGGTCATCAGATCCAATTGTTTACTCGGTGCAGAAATTCAAATTAAGTTCTGTCTTACTAAATATTAATAAGTGGCCTACTGAACAGCTAGGTATCAATTATAGGCTCAAATCAATGTGATCTACATTTTCTTTACAGTAGCAGAGAAAGCACTAATCAGGTAATAGTTCATATGCAATTATTAATTGCTACCTGCACATTTTTAATTTAAATAAGAGTCTGTAACATTGTGGAACTAAATTGCATTCAATACCAGAAGGTATCCTATGATTGTATTGTAACACTAAGCATTTTAAACATGGCCATAAATAACTTTTAACTAGATCACGTCAACCTATTTTATGTTTACTTTCTTTTATTCCATTGGCATAGATTTGCCTTAAGTGTAACTGGAATGTCAGATTACTCACCCAGGCATAAAGACTATTTTACACTACCTTGTCGTTCTGACCTCTCGTTCAGTTTGTCCAGGGCTCCCTTTGCTGCTGTACTTTTGGCAAGTGATAAAGCATAAGTCAGAAGAGCCAGCGTGTGATTATCCGATACGTTATTTAAATGAAATTCAAGAAAGCCCAGTGCTTTTTTTACAGATTTATCATTCTGGAAAAAGAAAAGTAGCACCTTAAGAAATACGTTTGCATAAACTACAATAACTAGTAGTAGTCTTTATGGTGAACTGCTAAATTACAATTTTATATTCAAGATAAAAACATATAATGCTAAAATGTGGGATATACTACAAAACATTGCAGCAATCTGGAACTGAGCAAGACAGTACGAACTGTAAGCCTCTAAATGTGCTTGTGAGGAGTGGACTATAGATAGTTTGAATTTATGACCAACCTCAAAAAAGGGACTTACAATCCAACATTCATCCATGCCCGCCCCCATGGCCATTTGGGCGCTAGGCAACTAGCCCACATTTTTGGCCATTGCAGTATCTCACAAACATGTATGTTTACTTCCAATTTTCCCAAAAAAATGTGTTTGCTTAATGGCCACTGTGTTCGCTTAATGACTACTACAAAAAATCATAAAATCAAGCATGGTTATGTGATGACTATCATAATTTACAACCAAAATTGCAGGCTCGATTATGGACGCAATTCAAGGACTACCTCTATTGAAACCTTAAAAGGCAGAAGACAGCAAGGAAACACAGTACCATTATGAACAAACCACATAGTGATTTTCAAAAATCCATTTTTGCTGGGGCCTAACAAAAATATGTATTACTGATGGTGGTCGTGATAAGCCATATGCCAGCTTTATGTTTCTTTGCACTATAATCCCATAGAAATTGATTTGGACTAAAGAATGAAAACTGCCTTAGTAATAGCATTCTTATGTTCCACTAGTTCAAATAACTATTAGGAGACACACAACTATTGACTTAGAATGAGATGATGCTGGAAGGATTTGAACTAATCTTGTTCCTATTAGAATGTGTATGGCAATACTATGGCTTCTACCTATTTTTGGTATCTACCTATATTTATCTTGGCCAAGCCAAGCTGTTTAATTCCACACAAAAGAGAAATTATTTCAGAAATGTAAATGTGAATATATGCTATTATGTCATGCCAGCGTAACAATCAATGCCCAGGTGCTCCTTCATTACTAAATCTTTTGAAAAGATATTTACCTATTAGGAGTGTGACTCTATAGGAAACAAAAGTCAATTCATATTGCAAAAAACTTTTCTGTCCTATTCCACTTTGTAAGAGATAAAGCTCCCCATTTCTGCACAACTGTTTATTAATCTCACAGTTAATCAAGCAGTATACTGTTCTGCAAAGATAAAACCTCATTTGGGAATATGCTAGCACAAGAGATCCCAGATTCAATTCAAGGAGAAGTGGCAATAACTCCTGACTAAATCTGTGAGCTTTTGGCTATCAATATAGATCACCCTTCCTCTACCGAGCAGATGTTCTTATATACCCCATTCCCATAAAACTAATCAGATGTGTAATCCAACACATCTGGAAGAAATCAGATTGTGAAAAAAGGATTGGTTGCCTGACTGAGAATACTGCAGCTTCAAATGCATTCTTTGGCATTATTCTGATTTAAAGTACTAGCCTGTATTGTAAACAGCTTTACAGTAATTTGTTTCAAATACATTAAGATCACTATCATTACTACCTCATTGAACTGATACTCTAATAGAGCAGTCAAGATATAAGATGTACGTGAAACAGAATCGCTAGTGCCTCCTTGAAGCTCAGTTTGTAGAACTCTTCCAGGTTCCTCAAATTCTCCATTGAATTTCTGATGACTGAGGATCCAAGCAGCTGTTCTCTCCAGGATATATGGATCAATATCAATGTATGGTTGTGCTTGAATGAAACTCCTTAATACAAAAGCTGATAACCTAGGATGCAATTATAATGAAAGTATACTGTTAAGCATTTTTGTCCAAACTAATTCTTTCTATTAAATGGTTGGTTTAGATCAGTGTTTCTCAACCTGAGCTGCATTAAGAGGTGTAGATTTCAACTCCCCAAATTCCCCAGCCAGCAAGGCTTTTAATTTGGAAAAAATAGAGCTCAGTGGCTTACATGGCCCATTTGATGATGTGAATTTGTAATAAGTTATAATAAAAAAAAAACCTTATACATTGGACATTGTGCAACAATATAGATACTCACCAGGTACTCCCAGAGGGATCACTGTTTCCAAAGGCACTGAAAGAGCCATCAAATCTTTTATAGAGAAGCTCTCTTTGATAACCTGAACAAATAAAATATGAGAAGCATACTGAACAAACCGAGCAGTCTGCAGTGTCAGGAGATGCAGTTCTGAAAGGCTTATTGCTCACTGAAGCTAATAGCCTAATCTGCTAAAAGACCAAGGTTCACAAGGATTGAACTTATTCAAACACTGTTTATATGTTCCTATTATCAAGTGTAAACAACATAATACAGAGACATGCAACTTCTGAGACTGGAGGCTAAAATTCAGTTTCCCAACCTTCTAAATGTAACATCACCAAAAAGGGCATTTAAGGGAATAGGGGTGGAAATGGAAACAGAAAGGCTTTGGGAGGCAAAGACCTACTATTTCCCCTATTTTTAATGCCCACAGGAAAAAAATGGCAATAAAGTTTATCTAATCTATTAACTTCACACCAAAACTTGGCAAGTAATATGAAGTAATGCTATCCCAAAGCGGTCATTTTGCCCTGGAATATCAACAGCACCATTTCAGGCAATGAAAGGTCTACAGATAAGGTCCTGGAGGATGGCCTGCAGCCCAGAAGTAATAGGAAAATGAATAGGCCCATGACGAAACATAAAGCCAAATTTATATATATATAAAAAAAACAACTGGTGAAAAGGTGGAAGGACTTTTTATAAAGAGTTCAGTACAAAGCTGAGAATAATAAAGCTTAAATTATGATCTAGCAAAACCTTCTCAGGAATGCAGGTATATGATACAAAATTTAAGCTATATTGGTTTTCTACTACTACTGTATGTTGTATACACATAATTCACAAGTATCAGCCTTAACATGAGAAATAGAAAACAATTAAATACTGCTACTGTACCAATAATAATAAAAGCCATTACTAGTACTATTATTAGCCAACAATGCAAAGATGAATACTTGTTTTTAACGTGAAAGAGTTTCTGTTTTGTCTAGAAAAGAATTCAAAGACCATGAATTATTTGAATGTTCTCAAAGAATATTAAATCCCAAACTCCAGGTATTGTTTAAATGAAACAATAATTACTAAATTTCAATTTAGCATACCATTATGACTCATTTTAAATAGCTTCAATAAAACTAATGTTTGGAGAATTTTAAAAAAATATGGCAAAATAAATCAATCTACAAGCAAAATGACAGGCTGCTTTCAGACTTCAAAGAAGTTTTTAAAAAACAGATGTTCATTATTTTTGAAACTAACTGTGCAACTTTGGAGTAGTCAAAGTTCAAGTGTCAGGCGAAATGTAACCCATGGAGTTAAACAAAGCAAACAAAACTCTTTCTGTGGTCGGTAGCTTTTGTTCTATCTTTGTGGGAGACTGATCTGGGATGTAAGTCTAAATACAGTTACTCCTGGTGTGACACTACCAAATTTAAACTAATTTAACTAACTTTTAAAATGGGCCAGACAACCATGTAGTCCTGGGACATCTACATGTCATGTGAACTGTAACTGCATAACAATACAGAAATGAAAAAAAAAATATGGAATGAGCTTCCTAAGGTGAGTAAGTTTTTAAAGTCTCTAATCTTTATGCTACGATAGTGTTACAGCTTCTCTCAAACAAAAACTCCTTCAAGAATGAACAGTTGGTCTAAATGCTTTCAAAGAAATGCACACTGAATTGTATATTCCTTACCCAAACATATCCCTACCTTCTCTCATATATGACACGACTTTTGATTTAAATTGGGTTTGGAGCTTGCCCGTTTTACTCAAATAATCCAAAATATAAATATTAGGTGCAAAGTTAATCATGTTTTGTTCCCCACAACCATAAGGCATCTTGACTAGTGATTCCAAACCAGTGATAGAGGAACTAAGCTGGTCACCTGAAAGATAAATTTACAAGTCAGTGATGGAAGGGGCAACACTAACAAAAAGTAAACATGTAAACAAAGACCAAAGCGGGGGGGGGGGATTAAAATGTTCTATAATAAAACTTTTTAATCAATTCTCTCAACCAGCTAGCTTGTTTTTAGGATCAAAATCAACGCAGGTATTACCATAAAAAACATATTTTAAATAAAGGTATTCCCAATCTAACTAATCTCTTAATGTGTAGACTTCAATTTTCAGAGTACCCAGTCATGTGGCCGTTACTGAGAATCATGGAAATTGAAATTCACATGTCAATTGGGAAAGGCTAGGGTAATATAAGAACTCTCTATTATGGTACTGACATTCAGCCATGGAAGATTAGAGTATCATCATCATAATTCATTTTTTAAAAAAAACAATCTGCAAACAAAATCAATAATATCAGTAAGAAAGAAGATATTCACATATTCAGCAGATACAGAATGACATATTAATTTAAGCAAGATAACTATGTTAATGTTAGCAAAAAAGATAATGAAATAAACCAATTGCATAAATTGATATATAAAAGTATCTCAGGAATCATCTCTTTTCCATCCATACAATATGTACATACAATAGCAATTCTAAAATAACACTAGTTACTAAATAAATAAGTAAATAACTAACATGATGATTCGCTCAGCAATTAGATACAACTAAAACTGTATTCCGAGGAAATACAGTTATGCTTACCAGTAACTGTAACTTGCACTCTTTCACTGCCAGGAACTACATCAGAGGGGAAATTGAAATTCAAAATTTCCGTAAGATTAGTTCTTTTGGATAAGTCCAGAAGAACTGTCTCTGAATAAGTTTGTTCTAATCCTTCAGCCTATTAAAAATAAACAAATATTACACATGTAAACAATAATTGTTTATCTAAATAAACAATTGCCAAGCAGCTGAATTTAATCATGTGTCCATTGGGATGCTACAAGGGTTGTGGGTCCTAGGACAGGTGGTAGGTCACTTTTTTCAGTGCCATTGTAACTTCAAATGGTCACCAAACAAATGGTTGTAAATCAAGGACTATCTATATTAGCCATTGATTCCCATTCTTCTATGAATTGGTCCAGGCCTTTTTTGAAGCATAGTCAACCCAATAACCAGTAGGAAAAGCTTTGTTTTTGAGTGACTATTGAGGAGGGGGGAATATATTCCAAACACTGCAAGCCAACACATAAATTAAAGTTCTTGTAATTTAATATTCTCAATTATTTCATCCCTTTTCATTCTGTACAATTCAGCAATTTATGAAGGAGCACTGAGAACTACATTCAAGATTTTACATCTTACAAAGCAAATGAAAAATATTGCAAAAGTAAGCGTTTTTTCATATGCTCATGTTTCAGAAGCTTGAAAGATTTCATCACAACTGAATCTTACTATATATAAGTGTAGCTTTGTCCTATCACTCACGGTCTGTATCAGGAACTGGCAATATAGATTTAAATATGTCTGCCATCACCTCACTTGGCAAATCAGAAACCTTGCCTTACTTAATAAACTCTGTAGGAAATTTATCTAAAAACTGTGAAGTTGGTGTGTTAGGCCTTACTTCAAACAAGGCCCTACCTCACCCCTCAGCTTCAAGGGAACTCCAACCTCATCTTCTTCAGTATTTTACTGCAAGATTTTCTGACTTCTGTTTGAATGATTCATAGATGCTTTTAAAAATGATCAAAACGGGATTTGGGTAAAAGCTTCTCATCTGTCTCAGATAAAGATTCTTGAAATATGGCTGCTTTAAATTACCTTCACTAATAGTCTCTGGAGAATAGCGTCAGAAGCAATGGGTGATATTGCTGTCACTCTGATGGGAATTTCTCCAATCTGCTTTGGCATAATCGGAAAGAAGACAGTCTTCCCATCTTCACTTGGTATCCAAATAGAATGCTGGTTTCCAATGGCATTTATATCATTAGAGATAATAAAAATTTCAAAGCTATCACTCATATCAAGGGTTACTGTCACCTACAAAACAGAAGTGGTCAGTTAATGTTTTGTTCTACTAGCAGCAATAGTTAACACTATAACTACAGTATTGAACCTGGGGAAATGATCAGATGAGTGAAAAGAATATTTTGAAAAAGAAAGAAAGAAAGAAAGAAAGAAAGAAAGAAAGAAAGAAAGAAAGAAAGAAAGAAAGAAAGAAAGAAAGAAAGTTATCACAGGAAAACTCCTTCTGAAAGCATAAAAAGGCATTGAATTACATCTGGAAGTTCCTAAACTTGGCAGAATATAACAATATTCCTACCAAAACACTGATAGATATAAAGGATATGCACAGAATCACCTGGGCTTGGCCACAGCATTGCAGCATGAAGTGGCTAAAACAATTTGAGCCTCACTAAAGCTTCAGTTGTAATTCAACATTTTGAGGTAAGATAGAACTTAATTCTATTGCTCCCTAGAACAGGGGTAGGCAACCCAAAACACTTAAAAGAGCCACTTGGACCCGTTTCCCACCAAAAACAAAACACTGGGAGCCGCAAAATCATTTTGATATCTAAAATGAAGATAACACTGCATATATCATTTTTTACCTTTATTATAGGTGTGTGTGTGTTTGTGTGTGTGTGTGTGTGTGTATGTATGTGTGTGTGTGTATATATATATATGTATATGTATGTATGTATACACACACACACACACACACACACACACACACACAGGTAAAAAAATGATATATGCAGTGTTATCTTCATTTTAGATGTCAAAAGGGTCTCTCTCTCTCTCCCTCTCTATCTGCCCTTGGTCTGTCACTCCTCTTCCCCGCTCTCTTTCTTTCTCTCTCTCTCTCCCCCCCCTCTCCTATCTGCTGCTCACCTGACAAGCTTCAGGCTGTTGTCCAACAAGATCAGGGGTAGTCAACCTCGTCTCTTTTATGACTCATGGACTTCAACTCCCAGAATTCCTGAGTCAGCCTAGCTGGGCTAGCTAGCTCTCTCCTGCTCTTCCTGCTTCCTGCAGAGACGCAGCAAAGGGAAGAGCTCCGCCCAGTAAGCTTTTCAGCTCCTCAGAGAACACTGTGAGTGCACTCTCTTTTTTTTATACACACACACACACACACACACACACACACACAAAAACACACACAGAGAGAGAGAGAGAGAGAGAGAGAGAGAGAGAGAGAGAGAGAGAAGCAGGGAAGCGCAATTCCTCTCTCTGTCTCTGTCTCTCTCTGCAAAGGCAGAGGAGGCTGGGAGTCGCAGGGGAAGGCTCAAAGAGCCGCATGCGGCTCCGGAGCCGCAGGTTGCCGACCTGTGCCCTAGAAGAAAGATGTCAGAACAAATAGCAGAGTGGGAATCTGAATGACTATCTAATAATTACATAGGAATGGTTTATCTGGTTTAACTCTCAAGTTGCAATATTTGGGAAGGGGAACTTGCTTTGTTCACATCTCTCTGTGTTCATATTTAGTATCTTAGAAGGTTTTTGAGGTGCTTTGCTGAGCTCTTTCAGAAGAGCAGAGGCAAAACTGACCCAATTGGATCTCTGTTCCCAGCTTATCAAGTCAAGCCTCTGATGATGTGAACTGAGGGGCCTATGAGTCAAACTGTTTTCCATATCTACCTTCAAACTAAATCCTGAGATTGATGCAAAATCCTAATATATGCATAAGTATAACTTTGTTGGCATTTTCTTTTAATCTACGGCAGGGGTGTCAAACTGCCGGCCCATGGGCCGAATGCATCATAGTGAAACTGCGCCCACCCCATTGCCGGCAATGGAAAAAAAGTCACGAGACGTCGCGAGACATCATGTGACATTGAGAGTTTGACACCCCTGATCTAGGGGAATAACAATACTTTATACTTAAACAATAAGTATAAAAAAAATCAATCAGACTGAAATTAACCTGGGGTGGTAATAGCAAAGAGAATGCAAAAAAAGCAGATTTGTTTAAAAAAAACCCTATAAAACAAAGTTTCAATATATTTACCTCAGTGCTTTCTTTCAAATAATTGAAGATGTTTACTTCCAATATAAATTGTTCTCCTCTTATGACACTAGGAGGAAGGTTTAAGGAAACAAAAAAAGGCTGGAAGACTTCTAACTGAAAAACAAAAGTTATACATTATTAAACCATTGTGGAGTACTATTTGTTACTTAAGAATTAGTGATTTGAAGATCAGCAAAGAGAAAACTTTCCCCTGTTTTTGAAGAGTTTTCCCTGAAAAAAAATGAAAAATTCTGAGAAAAGGATTATAAAATATTTCCTAGCTTTACACTGCACCTAAAAAGGCAGAGATTAAGTGTATTTGGCATACTTTGAAATATACAGGCCCAATAAATTAGTTAAGAGATAGAGAAGCTTGCTTCAAATTCTCAATTTTCAGACATCAAAAATGGGAAGAATCAAGAGAAGCAGAAACAGCTGGTAATGATTATGATTAGATGGTGCTTCGTGTTACAAAAATATCTCCCATGTTTTTCAACTTCTTTTCTGAAAAGTAGTGCTTTCTATATCTGTTTGATGCATAAGAAGTCGAAGTCCAAAATACACAAGCTTACTTACTTCACTTCAGTGCTGATGCCACTGATTTTTCCTCTGAAAGCAAATATGAGTGCTGCATTCCTTAAAATTTCAGCAGCTCCTCAGCTCTACTTGTACTCTAAGTGCTTACAACCCACTTCTTCAAGATGAGCATATGGCACATTTTTTCCTCATGCCAAAATATGAAACAATAATGTGATCTACGAGATCTTAGTCATGAGCTGAAATTAAAGAACAATTTCCCACATATTTCCAAATTTCCAATTAGCATTTGGACTGGCTATGTATTCAGAAAGCAGGTAGTGAAGTAGTCAAGCAGAGGAGTGATGAATGTAGAGGGAGATGAAGTTCAAAGTGGGGAACCCATCTGTACAAGCCACTCTTGATTAAAACTTATGATTCATACTATATTCACATTGTAGGTCTTCATCTGCATTACACCTTCTTTCTCCTGCCTTATCTTTACATATTTAAATCATCCATCAGCTAAGGCAGTTTGATTAAAAGTTGCTACCAGACTCTCTCCGATTTTGAGAGAGAAAGCTCTGCAAGGAAGCTTAGCAAGAAAATAAATGGGACGGGCCAGATTACAGCGAAACAAAATTAAACCACACAAAAGTCATTTCTGTTAATAATTCACCCAAGTTAAAACTGAATGCTATACACACAAAGCCTTTGAAACACTCAGTTTCTATACAAATATTTTTCATGCACATTAATATGTAACATGATGTAGCCATATGGAAGTCTCTGAATAGAAACTAAGTAAGCCAAGAATGTGCAGTGGTGAAATCAGTCACTGAGAAAACTGACGTGAAATTCTGGTTTTGAATCTATAAAAGGTTTTCAACTGAAGCATGTGTAGCCAAGCACATCCTTTGATAAAGCCTGAAACTGTCTCATTAAAACAATATTTACCAATATACATTAAATAAATGTTAACTGTATTTTGTATCTAATCCTGAAATAAACTTTAAGATCTGAATCCAAAAATTGAATGAGAGGATGCCTCTAAATAATTTTTTTATTACATGTGTAGTAAGTGCGGGTGCAAATTCAAGATCTGGACCTCAACAAACTTTTTGCTTTATTATATCTAAGATTTAATACTGAATGTTGTTTATTATATTAATTCCATATTTTAAAACTAAAATTCTTATCTTAAAAGAATCCAGGTGAGGGCCTCACAGCACTAAGCCCATACTATTCCCATGTCATCTGAGAAGCCCTGGTGGAGGAGCCAAGAATATAGAATATTCCAGATCTTATGGAGAACAGGAAGCCTTCTTTATTTTTAAGGCAACAAAAAGTTAACTTTACTTTGAAAATGCGTTGTTGGTTGACTCACCAACCCCTTTTCTTATATTGGACTGCCCTCTACGGTCTGCTCATCTCTTGCAGTGTTCTAGTTGCTTTACTAGTTTTGCTCTTCTAGATGTGTTATACACAACATACCAAAAGCTCTTCTCAGCAATTTGCTGAGTTAGTTTCACCATCTCTACTATTTCAGGAGAGATTAACAGAGCATGCTGAGCTACAGTATTCAGGGACCAATTCCTATGGAAATGGGTTTGAAAAATTCACCAAAATATATCCACCAATGCATTGAAAACAATGTTACATTAAACCTGCCAGCATCTTTCCATTCTTTGCTCAAAGTCCACAATCTTTATACAAAACAGGAGAGTCATTGTGCCCAGCTACATGATACTACTAATACATGGATCTCTCTCCTATTTCAATATGATTAAATTTCACTTAGAGAATGTTCTTTCTCTATCGTGATTCCTTCCTCTGGGTCCTTGGCACATGCAAAATAATCTTTGAATTGTTGGAAAGATGCTTGAAATGTCCCAGCTTTTTTAATTACGTACCTTATGCTAAAAAATATCACCTAAAAATTATCTTATTTTAAGGCTGCTGTGCTCATAGATAACAAATACTATATTTTCAGTTTCATTTGTGTTTACCTTTTATGACTTTAAAAGAAACTATCCTGAAATAAAATGTTGATGATGAATTGTATAGAAATATTCTTTTAAGAAAATGAATGACTGAGGGACTGCTGAACAGAAGCTATACTACTAAATATGAACTTCATCAAATGCTTGTAAGTTCTTTTTTTCACAGCAAATGAGTAGATTTATTACCTCAACGGGTATTTTAATCACACCCAATCCAAGATTTTCAGATATTATAAATGCGCTGGCTACCCAGGATGTAATGGTATCAGGAACAGTAACATTTATTGTTGCTTCAGTAGATCTAAAGATGAGAAAAGACAGATTAAAAGAGAAAGCAAATCTAGAGTGACTTTCCTGGTGTCGGAATCTTGTTTTCTTTAATTAAGTTATTTTTTTACAGGAATAAGTAAGGAATTTGCACTATGCTCATGGTAGACCAAAAAAATCCATTCATGTCTCACAGCATGAAGGTAACTGTCACATATATATGTTTTGGGGAGTTGAAAACATTACAACAGGGATCCTCAAACCCCCGGTCTGTGGATCAGTACCGGGCCACAGCATGCCAGCAACCAATCCGCACAAACAAGCAAACCCCATCCACAGGATGCAGGCAGCACACAAAACCTCGCTCCTTCTGATCCGTGTAAAAACCTCTCTCAACATAACTGGTCCCTGGTGCCCAAAAGGTTGGGGACCTCTGCATTACAAGACATAGAAACACTCAATTCTAAACATTCATTTAACATATTGTAATCTAAGGATCTTCTTTTGGGTATATGTTCCAGCAGGCATCTGCTATATATTTAGACACTATTTTTTTCTTACACATTTTATAGTTCACCACAATACACTGTGTGTGAGTGCCGTCAAATTAGTTTTGATTCTTTGCAATTATCTGGAAAAATCTCTGCAAGGTTTTTCGGAAGAGATTTGCCATTGCCTTCTTCTTAGGGCTGAGGGAGACTGACTGGTCTCACTGGCCCAAAGTCATCCACCTGGCTTTTTGCCTCAGGTGGCACTAGAACTCTTGGTCTCCTAGTTTCTAGCCTGATGCCTTAACCACTACACCAAACTGGCTCTCACAATACACTGGTCCAAAGAAATATATACATTTGGGGAAATATGAAACAAAAAAGCCATCAGTTTCAATTTAGTTCAACTCCAGTTCAGGGAGATAGGTGATTGGGGGAAAATGGCCATTTGATAAGCTGTTTTTCAACAGGACAGTCCATTTTTGAGAAAAAAATAACTTCCCATATCAACAATAAATAAATAAAACTTGGGTATATAAGATTTCATTTTCCTTGGGGACTTCTGGGCAAGGCAATGGCAAGCTAAAACTCCAGAGGACTAGAGACAACAACATGGCTAAGACCAACAAACTTGCAAGAAGCCTCCTCACATGGAACCTCTTTAGACAAGGAAAGGATGAGACTGTCCATCTGGGCTCCAAATGGCTGCTTCTCATAAGGAAACTGCAGGACAGTGGGACAGACTTAGCTCAGTAGTTTGTGACCTTCCCTGCTAGCTTCCCTATTGACTTTCTGGAGAAGCCCTCAGGAAAAGTCACAAATGGTAGTCACATAATTGTCGCTGCAACCAATCATAAGTGCAAACTGGTTTGCAAGTGCTCAAATCGTGACCATGGGGGAGTGCTGGGACAGCTAGAACTGAGGACCGGTTGTAATCACCCTTCAATCAGTGCTATAATAAATTCTTTAATAAAATGTATTTTATTTTGTACACTTTAGCATGCAGATATTAAAACAAAGTCAGAACTCAAATAAAAAGCCTGCAAAAAAAGCAATTAAGCTGCTGACGTTAGCCTGCAACCAAGTAAAGCACCCAAGCCAGAACCAACTGGAGCACTTATAATTGGCAAAAGGATAGAAGTGGGTATCGGAGAAGAAGCAGAAAAATGGGCCCTGAGGTCACTTTGTAGGTGAGGGGGAACAGAAGGCAACATAATCACTTTTTGTTTTTCAGAAACTTTTACTATAAAGTTACACAATTAAGAATTTTTTTATTTGCCAGGTTTTCATTCCAGCTTTAGCAGAACTGTCCTTAATTTATAATTTCTTCCCTGGAAGTCCCACAAACATTTATGATTATCTGCAAGGGAAAATAAAGAAAGCTATCTTCACACAAGTTTATACCTTGTCATTATTTCCTGCCAAAGCCAAGTCTCTGGAAAATTCTTCCTCACATGGACATCACCGTCATGCAGTGCTGGGTTATTTTCATGGGATACAGGGTGGGTAACCAGGTCATAATCGAAATAATAAAATGGTACTAAAGGGAAAAGAAAAGGGTGAGGGTTTTGGATGCAAGAGAGCAAGATAAATTGGGTCAGATAGTTTAATTTATGTCACAAGAAGGGCCTGTTCCATCCCCAGATATATGATGAGATGCCATTGATGAAAGGGGCTTGATTTTTGCCAAATTTTCCCTTTCTCTGTTCCCCCACCCACCCAGCAACATGTCTCACATTGTTCTGAAAAGTATCCTAGTAATTATATTTTTAAAAATACAAAGAGTTGGAGGGTAAACATTTAAAACTTAATTTAGCCAAATTCGTCCCACAGAAGAGGAAGACTCACAAAACTAACACAGAGCATGAAAGCCATCAGATCAAACTGTGCCAACACAGTTGGGGGAAAAAACCCCTCTCCTGCATCATTTTTAAAGGGAGGTTAGAAAGAAACATAAGCATCCTCTCTGGCCTCCTCTTGTTAAAAAAAGTGGTGTTCATAATGGACGCACATAAAATAGCAGCCTTAAAACAAAAGAAGGAGAGATTGTAGCTACACTGAGCAGGAGAAGAGCTAGGGCAGGGGTAGACAACTTTGGCTCTTTTATGACTCATGGACTTCAACTCCCAGAATTCCATGCTGGCTCAGGAATTCTGGGAGTTGAAGTCCACGAGTCATAAAAGAGCCAAGGTTGCCTACCCCTGAGCTAGGAGATTCACTTCAGAGCATATTTCCCCTGAATTATACAAACAATGCCACACCTTCACTCATAGAATGGAATACAGGTTTCAGATATTAAGTTTAATATCTACACTGCACTTTGTTATAAATTACATCTGTCTCTTTGTCAACTTATTTTTGTCTAAGTATCACAAGCTACCAACCAACTATCTATAGCAAGTGTTTACAGTCTGGGTTTGCACTCTTTTTATTTTCCTCTATCACATTTTATGCAGACAGCTTTCTCTATACTGTGTCTACTTCATTAGCTGGTCAGAATATGTACTAGAAAATATAAACTGATGATTACTGGTCTCTTAAGAATATAACCAGGATAAGAACCAATAAATAGCTAAATGAAAAGCTATTTGACCAATCAACTGAAAGCTGAGATTAAAAGAAAAGTTTGTCTTGTCTATCTATCTGCCTAATTAACATAGACTTATTTATCTACAGCATCTGGAAAAGATGTGTATTTTGCTGTGTGATTCACAGTTCAACATCAAGAAAAATGAGAGACTGACGTTAGTCTTTTCCCAGGAAAAATTTACTGTATAAAATCTTACTTTCTGAAACTTGCACCCAAGCTGAGAGTCTCTCATATTTTTTATAACTTTTGTCAACTTTGTTGGCCAAAGTCTCCATTCTTAAAAGGGCTTGTCATATTGTAGAATGCCTAGGTTTTTTTTTTCAAAATTGGCTATCTCATATATTTTGGAAAGTGCAATCTCATCTTCCTCCCAGCCCAAACACTGTCTGATTCTTTTCTGTATGTTTTTACATTTAAAAATCTATAAAAAACATTTGCTCCAAATGAAAACATTTGAACCAATGAACTAACCCACTCATCCCGTTAAGATTTGCTTTGGAGGGCAACAGCACATAAGAAGCAGCAAACACTGAGAGAGGGTAGACCGTTATAAGAAAACCAGAAGAGTGAAGAAATTCAGAGATGGGGGAGCACTCTGAGGGGACCTGAAATCACAGTCCTAAGATCAGATCTGTAGAGTTCAGAAGAGTTTTTCCTGCAGTGGGCTGAATGAAGGTCTTAAGGAAATAATTGAGTAATATGACTGCACAATTATTTCTGTAAGGAAGCAAAGCTGCTTTAGAAGAAACCTGCATGAACCCAATATTCATGGGGTTTGTATAGCTAGAAAAAGGGAAAGGTTAGGAAAAAATGGTTGGAGACCTTAATCTGCTAAAGAAAAAACCCTCCACTGATGGTTAGAATGGACAAGAAAGTTGCACAGTAGATAAGGAATCCATTGCACTCTTTCTTTTCCTCTCTTTCAACATAATATGTAAATAAGAATGAATTTAATCTAACTTTGTGACTATATTTTCTCTTCATTAGAATTGTTTTATCCCACCTTTATTACTTTATAAATAACTGAAAGTGGGAAACATACAGAATAGTCCTCCCTCCTGCTATTTTCCCCACAACAACAGCCCTGTGGGGTGGGGTGGGCTGGGCTGAGAGAGTGTGACTAGCCCAAATTCACCCAGCTGGCTTTCTTGTCTGAGGCAGAATTAGAACCCGAGGTTTCTAGCCTGGTGCTTTAATCATTAGATCAAATTGGCTTAACCACTACATCAAACTTTATTTCGAATAAAGTTATTCTTAACTGAATATTCAATCTGTCTTTGATTCTGTCATCTCCACTACTATATGGACTAAAGAGTAAACAGTATTAAAAAAGATAAATTTTGATCTCCTTTCCTATAGAAGAGTATGATGGAGTAATTAAACAGGAAGGGCCTTTATTCTGAGACAGATAAAGAAGTGCAGGTTTGAAAGTCAGATAGGTATCTACACAAGAAATGATGGATTCATTTTTTGATTTGTCTTTACTTACAATCATAGTCCTCATGTTCTGAAAGGTTGGCATCAGTCAATATCCAGAGATTGTTGTTCTGAATGCAGTACATAAATGATTTTTCAGTTTAATTACATGCAACATATCAGTATATGCTGCCCAGAGTTGCCTCAGACATGACATGGGCAGCATATAAATTTAATAAATAAATAAATGTCATTTTTTAAAATGTATTTTAGAGCACACATAGAAAAAAAAACTGTACACATATACACGGAATTAGAGGTGACATGATTGCTGTCTTCCAATACTTGAGGGCCAATCACAGAAAGGGAAGGGTCAACTTATTCTCACAAACATCTGAGGACAGGACAAGAAGCAACGGGTAAAAGGTCATTAAAGGGAGATCCTACCTGGAATGAAGGAAAAACTTCCTGATAGTGAAAGTAATTAATCAATGGAATAGCTTGCCTCCTAAAGTGGTGGGTACTCCATCATTGCAGGTTTTCAAAAAGAGATTGGACATTTGTCTGGGATAGAATAAAATCTCCTGGCTTGTGGGGTTGGACTAGAAGACCTCCAAGGTCTCTTTTCTATGTTTCTATAATACCAGGCCTCTTTATGTATGTATGTGTGAAAGAGAGAAAGATACATTCATATTGTTTCAGGAATCAAATGCATCGAGAACATGAAAATTAGCACCTACGTATACAATCGTACCTGAAAGACGCTTACAGCATTTCCACTTTCCCCATAATATGGTTTTGTATCATATAAACTTAGCTCGTGGTGTATCTGTTTTTTTTAAAAAAATAGAAATAAATCAAAGATAAAATAGTTAACCAACTTTTTTAAAAAATATTTATATATTTCAAGGAAAATTTAACCAGTGATAACAAAAATGTATTATTATCTTTGTTAATGGACCACACACATTTTTCAACTCCAGGAACAACTGGATGAAATAAAATAGGACATGGTGAATAATTATTGTATGATATTTTAATATGTCAATCCGGAAAATATGAAAAATGTGAAAAAAATCTTCAGAACAAAATCAATTCATTATGACTTTTCTCTGAAGAGAGTTATTTGATGGAAGCCTAGTAATTGAGCTGCTGTACAAGGAAGTAATTTACTAATTAAAATTTTGAACCAGGGCAGTGAAGAATGCCATCAAAGACTAAGCTATAATTAGCCATCAGTTTTATCATCAGCATACCTCTTGGAAATGTCTAAACACGTTTTATTTCTTTTTCATCACTCATTAAGAGCTAGCTGGTGATTTGTAAATGCATGTGAACTCAATACATTTGTTTTTAGTTTCCATTTTTCTTTTGTTAAATTCTCATTTAACAAAAATGAGAATTAGGTATCCTTATATATTCCTTCTTAACTGTGCATGCTTGTCAGAAAATGAAGTAAATAAATGCAAATATGTTTGATATGGAATATAAAGTTACTCAGATTATCAGAGAATGAAGTTTATTGCAAGTAAAATGAAAGATTTACATTAATACATAATATTAACTGTTTTATGGTTTCAATTTGTTTCAACATTTTAAGGAAACCAGTCACAATAAAACATAGTGCTTCTAAACCAATGCACTCTTGCAAAAGGAAAAAGAAAAAAAAACTTACGGCATCCTCTGTGATATCATTGCTTTTTCCCAACAAATTTACACTTTTGTCAATAACTAAAAGTCCAATTGAGGTTTGGGGTTCTGTCACTTTGATTTTGAGGGTGATATCCTCAGCAGGCCCAGCTTTATTTTTACTCCAATGCATATTAATCTGGGGAAAGATCAAATAGTATACATTTGAGTTAAGTTTACCTATGATGTAATTAAACAGGTCCCAAAATTGTGAAAGTATCAAACCAAATGCAGAAATCGGACAATAATACTATACATATTTTCTGAGAAAGATCTCTGGAATTCAATGGTTCTACTTTTGAGTGGAAGATCATACATATTTTCTGATAAATAGAACTATAAATTAAGAAAAAGATTTGAGGCCTGTGTGTTAAAGAAACTATTGTGTGTGTGTGTGTGTGAGAGAGAGAGAGAGAGGGAGAGGGGGGGGGGAAGAGCTTCTGATATTTTCTCTTGTGTGGGGCAAACAATACGGTAGCTCAGAAAGATAATCTGGATTATGAAAGGGCTGTCGAGCAATAGCGAGGGTTTAAAAAACTGACCATTTTGAACATAAGATGGACACCTGAAGAAAGAGAACAAGTAATGAGAGAGCAGACAAGCAATGTAAGGAAATGGAGGCCACATTTTGAAACTAGGAAAAGAAAAGAGGAAGAACAGATGGAGACAAAGAAAAAACAAAGAAATTTGTTCCAGCAGTTAACTGGCCTCTTGGTACTTTATGGCAACAAGCATTTTGCGCTTCACTTTGGTTGCACTGAATGTAATTTTAAACGACAGCTTAGCATTACAAGAACAAGCTCAAAGTAGCCCCAGGCTCTTGTGTATTTCTTTTTCTCTCCTGATAGAACTAGTTCAGAAGTCCCCATTTCTGTTTTAATATATAGCAAGAAAAAATAAGTCACTTTCTTAAAATATAAATTCTAGTTGGTTAGTTAATTACCTGTATTTAAGATTAATTGCACTTTGTCTTGTTTCACATAGCAGAGCAAGCATTGTAATTAATCAATAGTGGGTTCTTGTTTTTTTATTTTACAATATACTCTGTATGAAAGTTTTTTGGGCAGACTGAAATGTTACATCATTTTGGGTTTTTTCCCCTTGTCCTTTATTATACTGTACCATAAACAGTGAAGAGAAACTAAAGAACCTCTTGATGCGGGTGAAGAAGGAGAGTGCAAAAGTTGGCTTGAAACTCAACATTAAGAAAACCAAAATCATGGCATCCGGCCCTCTCAATTCCTGGCAAATAGATGGGGAAGAAATGGAGGTAGTGACAGATTTTATTTTTCTGGGCTCCAAGATCACCTCAGATGGGGACTGCAGCCAAGAAATTAAAAGACGCTTGCTCCTGGGGAGGAAAGCTATGGCAAATCTAGACAGCATACTAAAAAGCAGAGACATCACCCTGCCAACAAAAGTGCGTATAGTCCAGGCCATGGTTTTCCCAGTTGCAATGTATAGCTGTGAAAGTTGGACCATAAGAAAGGCTGAGCGCAAAAGAATTGAGGCCTTTGAACTATGGTGCTGGAGAAGACTCCTGCGAGTCCCTTGGACTGCAAGGCGTTCAAACCGGTCAGTCCTAGAAGAGATCAACCCCGACTGCTCTTTAGAAGGCCAGATCCTGAAGTTGAAACTCAAATACTTTGGCCACATAATGAGAAGGAAGGACTCACTGGAAAAGGGCCTAATGCTGGGAAAGATTGAGGGCAATAGAAGAAGGGGACGACAGAGAATGAGATGGCTGGATGGAGTCACTGAAGCAGTAGGTGTGAACTTAAATGGACTCCAGAAGATGGTAGAGGACAGGAAGACCTGGAGGAACGTTGTCCATGGGGTCGCGATGGGTCGGACACGACTTCGCAATTAACAACAACCATAAACAGATGTTGATGGCCCAGAAACCCAGTAACAATTTCAAGAGAAATATTTAAAATGCAAAGTAACTTACTGATGAAGGATTTATTTTTGAGGTAATTTTAAACATCCAAAGGAAAAGGAATAATTAATAAAAAGTAATAACAAATCACCTCCCATCCAATGGACAGGGGAACTGATCAGAAAGCCTCCAATAGATTGAAAGGAATTAAAAATAAAGATGATTACATGAATTAAAACAAAACTGGAGTGAACACTTTAAATATATATATATAGGAATAATAGTGGAACATCTACAAGTGTGGAATTGAAACAAATGGAGTAAAAGTTGATGCCCTAGAAAAGGAAAATCACAAATGCTATGAGAATGTTGAAAAATGGAAAGCTTGCAAAAATAGTGCAATGGGAGAAATGTTAAAATATGGGTATGGCTTGTTCACTGAATGATTGTGTAAATGTGCCCAATGCCTGGAAGAATAGTATGTAAAAAACAGCAACAGTGAATATAAAAACTTCAGGGAGATCCATTTATAAAATGTGCTTAGATTGGCAGAATTCGGACTGAAAAGCAATAAAAGGTGACAGTAAGCAACATTTGAGAAATGCATTATGGTTTTACGCTGGGCAAGAGATATACAGTCAAAATTTTTAACTTCCTGCCCTTTATGGATACATATACAAGGAATGTTTGTGGCAACATTGACGGTGTATTGATTGATGTTGTAAATATCCAGGTTATTTTTAGATGCTATACTGCTGGCTGAGGAGCTGTATGAATTGTGCAAATGTTAATTAGACTGTATCACACCATAAAGAAAACCTATCTACAAATTAATGTTTCAAAGACCAGTAAGTCACTTTTTTCAGTGCCATTGTAACTTTGAATGGTTGTATGTCAAAGACTACCTGCATATATTTATAAAACCTGTTCTAACTAAAGAGAAGTAAAAATATTTCTCTCAAAATAAAACATTTCTCTTCACTGAGAGGCTTAAACTCTTACAAAATGGACTTTTAATGAGGCAAAAAATAGCTATTTGCATAATAACTTAAACTGTGGTTGAAGCCATTAAGTGCACCTCCATAAATAAGCTTTCCTACATAGCGGGAAACTGAATTTGGTAAAACCCAGTTCTTATGAAGCTGGAATAAAGATCAGTGTATTATGCACAGATTAGCAATTGGTAAAGCAATTACAGTGTCGCTTTCAATCATTTTCTTCAGTAAGTAAATAAGCAAGTACTGTATAATGCTTTTTCTTAATTGAGTTCCCTTTATCTAGTTTTAGGAAATAAACAGAGAATAGATTAGGTTTAAGGCCATATTTATTCAGAAATACTGGAAATACAAACAGATTCACAAACTTTTAAGCACTATTGTATAGTTACCAGTTCTGGGCTACAAAAAGTTGGACAACTGTTGAACAGCTACAAAAATACAGGAAATGCCATGTGTTTGCTGCCATCTAGTGGCTGTCTGGATATCATGGTCTCAATTGAATGGGGCAGATCTCAGTCCACTCAAACTACCAGTTTTAGAAAGGTTCTTCATGGTTTGATAGAGCAGTACCTGAAGGACTGTATTTTATCATCTGTCCTTATCAATGTTTTAAGTTCACTGGTTAAAGTACTTTTTGAAATTGCTGTCACTTTGAAGCTTTTTCAGCCCTGGAATATACCTCTCTCATGTGCCAATCTTCATATATTTTTCATGACTATCAGAGATGTTTCTATTGCCTTATATATTTTGGGCCATATTACCACCCTCCTCTCCAAGCCTCCCCAAGCCACCTCAGTGCCCTTCCCACCACGGCCCAGCACGGCCACCCTGGGGCTCCAGGAGCTGCAGGGATCCGTGTGTGCCCTTTTCGCGCCGTGTCTGTGTGCGCATTTGCCTCGCTGTTTTCAGTGGCGCTTTTGGGGGATGGTCTGTACGCTATAATTCCCAAAGGAAACGTAACTCTACTGATAGAAAACACTGGCAAGGAGAATATATCTATTTGTTCAGGCACTTATTTAATTATCTATTATGTCAGAATGCTTAGTTTAAAGGTTTATGCCAGCTTTTCATAACAGATTCCTCTTTAGAAGAAAATTCTTTTTTTTAACAAGAGAAATAGCTTTCAGTATTGTCTTAATCTAACAGCTCCCTCCTTCTATGCTTTTCTATGCGTCTTTGTAAAATACCAAAGTCCATCTCTGCAGCACTGATATAACCCTATAGTCTATTAACCCAGGTGGTTTATAAAATTCCACCTCTCCATTTATTATGAAAGGAAGACTGGTATATTTACCTGATTTTTAAAAGTCGGCTGAACAGGAATATGTAGAAAATCATTTATTATTTCCCCATTATCATGCACATAGAAGACAATTATGCAAGCCATAGGATACCAAGAATTTTCTGGGGATAAACTTAATGTTGTAGTTTTCTTTTTCCCTGCATCCACAATCTGATCTCTGGACATCACCTATGAGTAAAAAAAAATACCACACCTAAAACATATGAAGCCCTTATAGAAATAAGATGAATAGGCACTTAATAGTTTCTGATCTAAACAGAAAAATATACAAAATTATTCTGTCTGGGAAAGGACAGGACGAGAAATAATAACACTGAATTTGAAATTAAAGCTTTCATCAGTTGATCATATCATCTTGGGGACAAACTGAAAACTTTTTGACTTATAAAACTTATGAAACTTTTTCTCAGATCTTGCAAAATTATAGTCTAAAAATGTAGTTGAAGTGGCTGTCTTTTTGGTGATACATGTTTAATTTAAGTAAGTGTCTTTAATCAGAGATACAAGGGAGTATTAAATGTTTTATTTCTAAAATTTTTGTTTTAAAGTGTACTTTTTATATATTAGAATTATATTTCCCATCTAATCATCAGCTTCTGATTGTAAAGAATTCTATGTTTAATAGTGGATTCTATTCCTAGCTATAAGTACTACATTAGCACTAGACTGATGTTCCTGTGTCAGAAATATAATGCTCACTGAATTTATTTAAAAATTCTTTAAATATACTAAAAGGTTGTAAAATGTATCAACTGGTGATGACTTTCAGATAGTAACAAAGCAAGCTTAAGCAGAATTGTTGAGAATTCAGATGTATAAACATGCAATCTAAGTTTCAGGATCCAAAACTGATTTGAAACAATAACAGTGTTTTTTCCAAAAAAAAAACAAAAAAAACACAATCCTATATTTTTTCAATACATATATATTTGGTAACTGTGTCTCATGAATTAATCTAGAAAGTCTTTAACTGTAGCATATATTTTTTTATTTGGCTACTCTGTGGTAAGATGGGGGGGGGCATTACATTTTATAAATAATCAATAGAAATCCTTCCTAGTTGAATGATGATATATATAACTGGTCAATCAATCAATATTTTAATTTTTTTTAAGTTCATTATTTTAACATCAGTTACAAAAATCTTCATTTTTAATTCTTTATTTAATTACTGCTATTTTCTGCATTGTTTTGGGACAGATAGACAGTGTGGATTTTGAGAGATAATCCATTTTAGTAAAAAAATTTAAACATCCTTCTTCTTCCAAACAAATCCTGCACACATGCAAATTTCTCAACTCCCAATCTCCCCAAAAGTACTTGTGTAAAAAGCAAAGCGATGCTCGTGATACCAACAAGCCAAATAACAACACAGGTTGTGCAACCATAATTCTCTACATAATTTTTCCACTCTTTCAAAAGAAGCTAGGCATTCAACTCTTCTGCTTCAGTTTTACTTTGTTGTTCCAAAGTAACTGAAGTTTAACAATATCAATGAAGGCAGGTCTACGTGTCCCAAGATAGTGTTGCAAGATCAAATCTGAGTCGGTCACCGGAACCAAAGGTTTAATCTTCCAAGCTTTCGGATGGGCTCCAGCAAGAGTACAAAAACTCGGCAGAGTAAACCTCTAGTCCCTGTGACCGACCCAGATTCGATCTAATGCTGTGCTTCAATTACTAGAGGCACAAGTGCAGCTGAAAATCAGTCCCATTAAAAAACAGCTAATCATTTTTTTGCCTTTGTTTACTTATTTCATCTGTTGCCCCATTTTTCTCCCTGAATATACCCTATCTACACGCCAAGTAAAACAGAACAAGGTCCTCAGCTTGTTTAGTAACTTTAAGCTCTGATTTTTTAAAAATAAATAAATAAAATTATTAAGATCTACCATATAATTGATCTCATTCAACGGCACGCTGCTTTCAACACTGAGTTCCAAAGGTGTCCCAACCTAGGGAAAATAAGATGTCTCAATTAAACACACCAGTCATTATGTAATACAGCTGTTTACTTTGGAAACTTGTTCAATTACTGATAGAAGCAATTACTTTAAAATCCTTGCTTGTTTTTCTAATCTGGAGATAAGTCAAACTGGGTGAGTAGAACACATCACTTATCTTTATGGAAGCTTGACTTTCCAGAAATTCAGCCTGTTAAAAAGAAAAAAGGCGAAAAAATGCACATAAGACAATAATTAAAAAGTATATCTTCCTTAAAAATGTAATAATACAGGTGGAAGACTCAACGCTTAGCATAGTTCCTCAAATACAACCCTATCCTTTTTCTTTGAATATTCATTTGAAGAAACTAAGGATGAATATTGCTAACAGCATACCTATAAGCATTTTCCGTGTTCAAACTACAGGTACAATTGAGCTCAAAATTTCTGTTGTTATGTGAAACATTTGTTAAGTGAGCTTTGCCCCATTTTATAACCTTTCTTGCCACAGTTGTTAAGTGAATCACTGCAGTTAAGTTAGTAACACAGTTGTTAAGTGAACCTGGCTTCCCCCTTGACTTTGTTTGTCAAAAGGTCGCAAAAGATGATTACATGACCTGGGGACATTACAACCATCATAAGTATGAGTCAGTTGCCAGGCATCTGAATTTTGGTCATGTGACCATGAGGATGCTGCAATGGCCATGTGAAAAATTGTTATAAGTTATTTTTTTCAGTGCTGTTGTAACTTTGAACAGTGGCTAAATGAATTGTTGTAAGTCGATGTACCCTTAAAGCAGTTTGGATTACAAATGAGCCATAGAAAACTATGGCGCTTCCCTGCCCACATACCATACTTGCCTCATCAACTTTGGGAAAGCCCAAACCCAAACCACAGTTCTTAAAGAGTTTTTAATCTAATAGGAAACTGTGGTTTAATAACAACAACAATATTCTATTGAGAATATTACAAAGCAATATACATATCTGATGCCTAGTGAGATACATTTGAGGAAGAAGACAGGCATTAAACAAATTTCCATATTGAGATTATTTTCACTGGACAGTTAAAGCTTTCCTTTAGGCAAAATGACAAGAAAGGAATATACCTTAATATGCAAAACTGTTGTATTAGCTGAAACTGGAAGCTCCATCTGAATAACCCCATCCTCTAGAACAGGATAACTTAGCTCATAAACTGTGTTCTTTTGCAGCGATTCATTTTCATCCTCAAGTATCTGATAATAAATTTTTGACTGTGTGACCGTGATTGTGACATTATTCTTTTTTTCATCAGACGTTAGTGGATGATCATCATTTCTTCTTACTTTCAACTGAAAACAAATTAAACTTTAGAAACAAAATTCTTTAAAACAATAATAACCTTTATGTAGAGCACTTATTTGAAATGGCAGTACTATCTTTGGCAGCAAGGAACCATTAGAATATCTGGTGACGTCAATGTTGCTCTAACTCTCCACCCTGAGTTGTAGAAAATAAAGGTTAATATATAAATCTAATAAATACCAAAAGAAAGAAATATTTATAGGCAATGTTTGATATGTGTATGTCAAATAAAAATACTAAATACTGTAGCCCATACTGTACATATAGACTTCAGATACTGGGTATGACTAGTTTAATGAAGAGAAGGACGAGGGGTGACATGATAGCAGTGTTCCAATATTTCAGGGGTTACCACAGAGAAGAGGGAGTCAAGCTATTCTCCAAAGCACCTGAAGTCAGGACAAGAAGCAATGGATGGAAACTAATCAAAGAGAGAAGCAACCTATAACTAAGGAGAAATTTTCTGACGGTTAGAACAATTAATCAGTGGAACATCATCATCATCATCATCATCATCATCATTATTACTATTATTATGGTGGATCATCGCACAGTCAGCCAGATGTTCAGACTGGATTTGGCATTTTGTCTACCTATCGAGTCCTTACCCAGGACCTGGGATAGGCAGATGTGGATGTTTGATGGTATTACAGGTATCGTCGCAGGATGGAAGCAGTTCCTAATAAGGCCGCCTTTTGCAATTGACTAATAGCGAATTTGTCAATACCAATGGTGTTCAAGTGGTGCTCCAGTTGCTTTGGGATTGCACCCAAGGAGCCTATTACTATTGGTACTACCCTTGCTTGCTTTTGCCACAGTCTTTCTATTTCTATTTGTAGGTCTTTGTATTTTGTTATCTTCTCCAGTTCTTTCTCGTCTATTCTGCTGTCTCCAGGCACTGCCACGTCCACTATCCAGACTTTTTTGTCTTTCTTATCGACAATTGTTAAGTCTGGGGTGTTATGTTGCAGGTGCTTGTCTGTTTGAATTCTGAAGTCCCAGAGCAGTTTAATTTTATCATTTTCTATGACTTTCTCTATTTTATGATCCCACCAGTTTTTGCTTACAGGCAAATGATATTTTTTGCAGATCTTCCAATGCACCATTGTTGCTACTTTGTCATGCCGCTGCTTGTAATCAGTCTGTGCAATCTTCTTGCAACAGCTTACCAAGTGGTCCACTGTTTCTTCAGCTTCTTTGCATAGGCGGCACTTACTGTCTGTTGCTGTCTTCTCAATTTTGACTTTGTATGCATTTGTCCTTAAGGCTTGGTCTTGTGCAGCCAGAATTAGTCCCTCGGTCTCTTTCTTCAATTTTCCTGCTCTTAGCCATTGCCAGGTTTTATTATTATCTGCTTTCCCAGCTATTTTTTTAATGTATTGGCCATGTAGTGCTTTGTCTTCCCATGCCTCTATTCTGTTCTTCATTTGGTCTTTCTTGTAGGCCAGTTTGGTCTCTCCAGTAGTTAGTAAGCCTTCCTGATATACTAATTTCAGTGCATCTTCATCATTGTTCTTCAGATATTCTTCCAAAGCCATTTTTTCTTCTTCAACCATCTGATGTACTTGTAGCATTCCACGCCCACCTATTTGCCTTGGTAGATAAAGTCTATCAATGTCACTGCGTGGATGAAGGGCATGATTCATTGTCATTATTTTTCTGGTCTGCCTATCCATTGCTTTTAGTTCTGCTTGAGTCCAGTCCACTATTCCAGCTGTGTACCTAATGACTGGGATTGCCCAGGTGTTGATTGCCTTTATGGTATTTCCTCCATTGAGTTTGGATTTTAAGATCTTCTTCACTCTCTTGATGTATTCACCTCTAATCTTTTTCTTGACTTCAGTGTGCTTGATGTTGTCAGCTTGAAGGATACCCAAGTATTTGTAGTACTCTTCCTCATCCAGACTCTTAATGTTATTTTCGTGGGGCATCTTGATTCCTTCAGTTTTCACTATTTTTCCTTGTTTGATAGTAAGTGTGGCACATTTGTCCAAGCCAAACTCCATTACAATATCTTGGCTATATATACGGACAGTGTTGAGCAGCGATTCTATTTCAGATGATGTTTTTCCATACAGCTTCAGATCATCCATGTAAAGGAGGTGGGATAGTCTAGCAGATGTTTTTGATGTTTGATAACCATGTCCTGAGTTATTCAGTATTGTTGACAGAGGAAACAGTGCAATAACAAATAGTAATGGTGATAATGAATCTCCTTGAAATATTCCTCTCTTGATATTAACCTCTCCCAGCTTCTCACCATTGATCTGCAACTTTGTCTTCCATTGTGCCATCGATTTTGCACAAATTTTCTGATGTTTCTACTTACTCCTGTTATTTCTAGGCACTTGATTATCCAATCATGTGGCAGAGAGTCAAATGCCTTTTTGTAGTCAATCCATGCTACATTCAGGTTGGTCTTCCTTCTCTTGCAGTTTTCCAAGATCATTTTGTCTATTAGGAGTTGATCTTTTGTTCCTCTGCTATTGGGGCGGTTTCCTTTCTGCTCAGGTGGAAAGAGATTGTTTTCAACTAGATGCTGTTGTACTGCATCAGCTACCACACCAGTTAGTAATTTGAAAGTTGTTGGTAAGCAGGTAATTGGCCTGTAGTTACCTGGTGTTGCCCCTTTTGCTGGATTTTTCATTATTAGGTAGGTTTTCCCAGTTGTTAGCCACTTTTCAATTTCTCCTCCTTGTAGTATATTGTTGAACTGCTTGGCAATGAGTGGGTGTATAACAGTTAGATGTTTCAACCAAAACCCATGCAGTTCATCTTCACCTGGTGCTGACCAATTTTTGATTTTCTTTGCTCTTTTTTCTACCATTTTTGTTGTTATTACTAGTTCTTTCATTTCAACTTCTGTTTTATTTGCATCCACCTCTTTTAACCAAGCCGCATCCTTGTTGTATTTCTTTGGGTTATCCCATATCTGCTTCCAGAACTGCACTGTTTCTTCCTTGTCAGGTACTGACTGATTCCTTGCAGTTTCTCCATTGATGGATTGGTAGAAACGTTTCTGATTGGATTGAAATTGGAGGTTCTGCCTATAGTTTGCAATTCGAGCTTCATATCTACTGATTTTCCTGGCTATAGCTGTTATTTGTTGCTTTATTATTTCCAGTGCTTCCTTGATCTTCCTTGTTTCTAAGTGGTATTTCTTGATTAGGTATTCTTTGGTCTTCTTGTTCTTCAGCTTCTTTTCTTTCATCTGTTCTAGCTTGCTTGCATGTGATCTTAACTTGCTGATCTTATTTTCTAGTCTAACCTTCCATTTTTCTGGTGCACTGTTTGTTTGTTTTTCTTTTTTGTTGATTTTGCATCCCAGGTATTCTGTTATAACTGCAGCTGTGCTGTACATTAGTTGGTTTGTTTCTTGCAGTGAATTGGTGCTTATACTTGCTATTGCAGTATTTGCATCTTTTAATGCTTGTGCTAGCTGTTTCTTTGGAACAAGCTTCAATGCAGGTAGCCTTATTCTGTTGTTTTTGTGCTGTTTTAGATGCTCAATTATTCTTTGTTTCAATTCTTTTATTTCTTTAGTTAGAGGGTTTTGTTCTTCCTGAGGAAGAGGTGCCTGGTTTCCAAATGAGAACAGTTGTATATCTCTGCTGGATTCCTTCACTGCCAACTCCCCCTGGTTTGCCTCTACATTCTGAATTACTTCTTGTAAGGCTTTGATTTCTTTGCCCTGGGTAAACCTTTGCAGTTCGTCCAATTCTGTTTCTGTAAATACTTTATTTCGTGTTATAAATCGGCGTTGATCTGCTAGTCTCTGTTCTGTTATTTCTGATTCTGGATGTTGTTCTTTCCAGAATTGGTGCATTCGTTTTAGATATCCTCGTCTTGTTGGACTTGATCTGTAGTAACAGATCATTATTTCTTTGTTTTCCATCACTGTGTATCTGCGACGGGTAAACACCTTTTCTTCCAGTAGTTCTGCAGCTGCTGGCCCTGGTTGCTCAGCCAACAGTCCTGAGTCCTGTAACCCATTTTTCACCAGATATCCAGGAACTCCAATATCTAGTGCGGACCTTGTTAACCCGGGCGATGTCCGAGCCGGTATGGCATTCTGAAATTTACGTCTCACCATATTTTTTATGGGAGAGACACTCTTTGTCTGACTCCTCTGATGAGACCTGTCCAGTATGGTTGAACCTCTGGCATAGCTCTCATCTTCCTCAGAGTACACAAGCCCCACAACCACGTCAAGGTAGTGCCTCACTGGGGGACTATTATTATTATTATTATTATTATTATTATTATTATTATTATTATTTGAACATATCAAATGGGAAAAGAACATTTTTGGCCTCTTTTGTTTTGGTGTGGAAGGAGATTTTGAGAAATAAAATGGCTTCCTTAAGACTTGTAGCTAAATCATTTAAGTCTTCTAAACTTTTTGAGAATTTAATTCCATCTTTCTGATGCATCTTTCATTCAATCCATTTCTGAAAAAAGCAAACAGTAAAACAACACTACTCACCATAGCAATGAAGTTCAGAGAAGGCTTCAAGAATCTTGGATACTCAAGAAAATCTAATGCATAATCATGTGGCTGTGAAAATACTGTAGCACTTGCATTTTGGGAGATTCCTGTTATAACAATCAGAGATTTTAAAAATGATACACCAGATTTATTTGTTCTTCACTGAAGCAAGGCAGCTCATACTTATTATTCTAAGTGACAACATTCTTTGATTAGATTCACACAACATGCTAAGACTAAAAACAAATCGCTTAATGTCTTAGTGTAATATGTCATCCTAAGCCTTGTGTTTTGTTGATAGTTTATGGTTTAGCATAATAGTAGGTGGTATGTCCTTATCTCAGTTTCCAGAGCCTTTAAAATTATGAAATTTAGCTGCAAATGACCAATTTTAGGCGACAGATTTTGTTAATGAGTAAAATAGGTAGAACAAATCCCATCAAATGTCCCCCTCCAAAAAATAACAAAAAAGGCCCTCGCCATAGCTATAAGCTATGGTACCTAAATTAGAATCACCATCCCTCCAAATATCAATTGCTAAGAAATATGAGTGTGATTTAGTAACTGTACTCATATTGTCCATGTGGAATTTTGACTCCCAACAGTAAAAAGATATAGCAGAATTAAATATGTCTTTGATTTGATCTCTTCCAATGTTCTATAAAAGCCACATTAAACAACATACCTGTAAGAGATTCTGTAACAACAGCTGTAATTTCTATAGGTGCTGGGTGCAATAGATCCTCATCTCTGACAGTTATATCTTTTATCTCTGGGTTCTCCAGTGTAAAGTTCAAAGAACCATTAATCTTAGATCAGAAAAAATATATTAATCCTGTTATCTTTGAAGCAATATTAGATCAGATTTTCACACTAGCCCAGGGGTAGGCAACCTTGGCTCTTTATGACTCATGGACTTCAACTCCCAGAATTCCTGAGCCAGCCATGCCTATCCCTGCATTAGCCAGAACATCTAGATCTGTTCTTCTTAACCATATATCACTGTTACATTTTATTTTTGATGCTTTTTCCATACACAAGTTTATATGAACTGGGATGTATCTACACCGCAATGTATCTATCCACTATTCTTCCTTGCTAAAACTGAGGAAAATGATATGCAGGTTCTGAGGTTTTGCTTGATAAAAAAAATACAGGAAACCAGAAGTTACCTTTAAGCTTCTACGTTTTTATTCAGCTGAACAAAGACGGACTTCTCTAAATGAAAGAAGCCCTGAATGACAAGAAATCCTTGTATTTATTCTGATTACATAAGCAACCCATCCAGCAAAGCTGACACACATAAGATAAAGATTTCACCCAATAAATCTGGCACACTGTAGATAAGAAGGGAGAAAGCAGAAGTAGCTAAACATGTTCCCTTTTGGGCGTTTCCCTAAAGATATCGTATGTTCTCGGGTGGGTTAGGACATGGGTGTTTTCCTTGCTATACTTTCATGACCCTGCATCCAGGACTCTGCAAGTGACCAGAGAGAGAAGGGCCATCTGTACGTATTCACAATTGATACTGTCCCCTAAGTCCTGGTCATCAAAATGATGGGAAAAGACCCAGAGATTTATTAGCATTGTATTCCCCTCTCTTGGCATAGCTACAGTTTTACAAGATACTTGTGGAAAGAATAGCCATGACAGCTGAAATGTCATAAAGCTGATACAAAATTAAAATTAGAGGATTGTTTTCAAATTATCTCCATATTTACTACAGACGTTAGACCTTTTTGGGGTGGTATCACCTTTAACATTTGTTTTAAGAGGGCTCAAATCTTCTAGATTTTGAACTGGTCTGCACAAACCATGGCAGTAATGGCTAGGCACTTGGTTTAGCAAGTCAAAGCCAGAGTTACAATTTAAATCTTGTTTTAAAAGAAATCAGATTTTACAAGGCAAATAAATGTAAAATATCATACTTCTGAAACAGATAAACCTAACCCTAATCCTTCACGTAAGTTTTTTCCTAAAACTCCTGCCAATAAGCTATCATACATGGTCTCCAGCCAACCTTAATTCCAAAACTCTGAAATGCCCACTGCATGTGAATATAGGTCAGTTCTGAGACAAAAAAGCAAGAAATAGAAAAACATGCAAAAAGCTTTTTTTTAATTTGTTCTAATAAGGGCTCAAAGTAGTAGTATGAGGAAGAGGAAGAAGCTATTCTGGATCAGAAAACAGCAAGGAAAATAGAAATACCACCGGATAAATCACTAGAAAATGTTGAGCGAGGGTGGGCCATGATGCACAATTTTCCTGAAATGTAAGTATATTGTCAAGAACTGAATATGGCTCACCTCCATTATTTTAGTTATCTTTTTGTTTTGTGCTCGAAACAATGAGAAGAAATCAATAGTGACCTTTCCTTTCATTGATTTTCCATATACGTACCTGAAATGAATACCCAAAACACCACAAAAAAGGATCAGTTGGAAACTGTTTGTTTCAAAAGACAGACTGAAAGCATGTGATAACCTACCATGTACTTAGTATCCTGGACGGTTTAATTTGGAAACAATGGTTTCCTTTTTTTTTTTTTCCTCTCAGCTTTTTCCTTTTGAACATCTTTTCAACAGCATCCAATCACAACTTTTTATCCCCCTCCTTTCAATCCATGCAGTCTTTGTCTATATATTTGTTTTGCAATTTGATTATCATGTTTTCCTTTGCGTATGCCCAAACAGCTTCACTTTTTAAAGTATGCCATTCTCACAGCAATCAACTTTTATTTTTCTTCCGTCTTGCCCAATCCTCACATCTGTACAGGAGGACGTACATCTGTTTTTACTTATTTTGATAAACATTAATTCCTCCTTGCTGCCAGCATTTGAACTTAAAAGATGCACAGCTTGATACACCTGCTCTAATTTTTCACCATTGATGGTTAACTTGCAATCATTCACTCTATTTTCCTAACACTCATCACACTGGGCTGGTGTATCTCAGGGACCACCTCTGCCCAATTACATCTGCCCTTCCCATTAGGTCCAGCAAAGATATATGCTGCAGGTGCCATCTGCAAAAGAGATTCATCTGGAGAAACCCAGAAAACAGGCCTTTTCCATCATGCTATGTGGATCATTGTTCCCCTTGAGGTGAGACTGGCTCCCATCTAGGACATCCTTCCAGAATTCCCTTAAAACCCAGCTCTGACAGCAGACCTGGGGGTCTCAAGGAGATGGAGTTTTAATGAGATTGCTGATTATTTTTAACATAATTTTTCTCCACTGTCTTGTTAATATTATTGATGTCTTTTAATTGTGTTGTTTTAATATTTTGTTGCATAATTGTTTTTACTATAAGCCATCTAGAGTGGCTTTATTTTTTTACTATAAGCTATCTAGAGACAGCTATATAAATGTGATAGATAAATGAATCATTTTTTTTCATTGCACATTCCTACATACCTATTAAGCAAACAGATCATACTCATCCTTGTTGTTTCTCCAAATAGCTCAGTCATATCTCCTATACTCTCTCATCTTGTCTCAGCCATCCATTCATATCGTCTATCATTCCCCGTCTCCTTCCTCTTAATTTCACCAATATAGAACTATTTTTAATTAACTGGTTCATTAATTCTCTTTAACATTTACTCCTATTACATTACAATTACAGTCATCAAGCTGTAGTTGTAAAATAGAGAAGGCATAAACTAGGTTATCAGTCCCAACTGTATCTGTGTCACAAGTAGCTCTACCATTTAATAATCTGAATATTTGTCTGCTCCTGCCACTGTGCATAAGGCAGAATCTTAATCTATAAAATATTGTGCCAGCCAATATACTATTGCCCATATTCCATCAAGTAGCAAGTTATTATTTATTTAGCATATGGCATCTACAGAAGTCATGCAATCACTGATATACCAATTTAGTTTAAATAAAGCATCAGATTGTACATACACACACACACTTTACACACACACACACACATACACACTCACACTTACACACACAGCGGCAAGTATATGCAATGTACTGATGCATACTCTGGATATTTTTTGCTGCCACCACACAATAATGAACTGTTTTTACCTACTTATACTCCACCTCTTCCAAAATAAGAGAAACATTCTAATGTAGAATAATTTACTCCAGCATTGCAACCTTTTTATATCTGAAACATAGATAAGCTCTCAATGCCATAATATTTACTTTTTACTTACTTTGCTGTAATAGTGCCATTCAACCTACTTTGCATAGAATAATACATAGGTGTTATTAAAGAGACTTCAAACTTTGGTAGCCCTGAAAAAAACCAAAAGCAACAATTAAAATTACATAATGGAGAAACTGAAGCAACTAAAATATTAAGTTTGAGTGCTCCTCTATTATATATTTATTATTCAAGGAAGACCTCATTACATGAATGAATGGATAGATCTCAGAATGACTTTTGGTTTTGCAAACTGTAAAAGATAAATTTAACATTACAAACAACTGGATACTCAAAGCTAGATCTGATCTTGTTCATATTAGAAGATAATCATGATTATTTACAGTAAGTCCACCCAAGTGATTTCAGCTGGTTTACTCTAAGAATTACTGTCAGGATCCAAATTATTAAACTTTATGCTAAACAGTCTTGCAATCTGAGTATTATAATTTCCATGTTTTTTTAAATGGTAAGTAACATTCTGGATTTCAGTTTTGTGGAAAATCACTACCTTTCTAAATTTAAAACTTCATTCACCTTCTTCTAAAAGAATTATAAGCACCAGTTTTTAAAGAGCAGCCGGTCATCACTTACCATATTCCACTACAGAAAATGATTGATGATAGGTTTGATCCTATGGAGACACAAGCAAACATAAAAGTCAATGAAAATCATATTGAATTCCTTTGGTTTACTGAATCTAAGGTAAAACCTTGTTCAAAATTATCTTGACCACTTAAGAATAAATGCAGGCTGAGATACAATTTTTAAAAAGTGACGCTTTTTTCATGGTAGTTTCATTTTCAACAATCAAGAACCAAGCTCCTTAAATTTACTAATGAATTATTCAGATTACAAAAATGTGAAAAGGGTACCATCACTTCTTAAATCACAAGTAGGCGGTCTGTGATCCTGGGTCAACTCTGGAGTCTTTAGAGCAAGGGTGTCAAATTCAATTTCATTGAGGGCCGCATCAGCATTGCGGTTACTCTCAGCGGGCTAGGTCGGTGTGGCCAGGGTGGGTGCGGCTTACTGGGTGGGTGTGAATGGAGTGGGTGTGGGCGTGGCCAGCTCTACATCATTTGCGTCAAGGGGGCCTGTGGGGGCCTGGGCAGGAGTGGGATAGATCTGTGGGTCTCTGGCAGAAGGAGGTGGGACCAGGGCAAATGCTAAGGCATGGTCCACTGGAGGAGCCTCACTATTCCTCTCAGGCCACGCAGTCTTATGGAGCTAAGACTGAATGTGTTTCAGCATAGATGGCCACCACAAAATTGTACATTGGTTCCCGGCCAGCCTGGGCCAGGGCCAAGGCAGCGGGGGCTGTTCCCTCACTGTTTCCAGGATGGCTTCGTAGGCTACATGAAACCACTTTGTGGGCCACATCTGGCCCCCGGGCCTTTTGTTTGACAAGTCTGCTTTACAGCTTAATCTAGCCCCATCCACTTTGCTCCTCCTTAAATTAAAGCTGTTCATCATCAAAAGGTTGCCCGCTTCTACTTTAAATATAAACACATCTTATTTATACTCACATTTACTTGAGCCTCTATAGACCAATCACCCAAGGGAGGATATTTGGATAATTTGAACTGCTTAACGATCTTGCCCAGTTTTCCGTTCTCTGTCAACCATTGCTGAATCAAATTTCGCTGAGGATCCTTACAAAAGTATATGTTAAATTACTGTATATATTCAAAATACAGAATTTAGTGCAATGCATGACTGCTAAAATAGGTTCATGGCAACAAAGTATGCTTCAGCAGTAAATATCCATCTAGAAAACATGGCCATCAATTCTACTATATAATCAAAAAGGCTGCAGATGTTAAGATTAGAAGTTCCTGTAGCAATAGGAGTTAATTTTCAGAAATGTTTTCATTTTATCATTATCTGACAATGAATTTCATCAATGCAATTGTTTTTGGGGGGGGCAGATTTCATTTCTGAAGAAAAATCTCATCTGTTACCAAATTCTTATTTAGGAATAGATTGTTTAACCATAACATATCAAAACCAAATAGCTATATTATGGCTTGCTGTACATTGCATATCAGTGTACAGGCACTTTTTCTGGTGATAAAGTATTTTCTACCCATGAATACATCTAAGGAATTCTCAACATTTTAGAATGATTCTTTTATGTCACCCAGAGTCCTGCTGTTTGAGTTGTGCGGCCATATAAGCAGTGGTGGGATTCAAATATGTGAACAACCGGTTCTCTGTGTGGATGCCACTTCCGGAAGTCCATTCTGGGCCCAGGCAACAAAAAATTAGCTACCGGTTCTGCCGAAGTGATGCAAACCAGCTGAATTCCACCACTGCATGTAAATGCTTTAAATAAATATATAAATAATGAAAGCTAATACTTTCCAAGAGTCTCTTGCCTCTCACTCCCTTACTATAGCTCTTTTCAAAAGAGCAATAAATTTTACCCTGAATTTACATCAATTGTATTCTAAAACATAAATTTAGCTTGGATGAACATATCATTTGAACCACTGTGCGAACATCTATATTCTACAGTATGTACAAAATACAAATAGATATTTATTTTGAATGTCTTTTACAAGAAATCACCTTCCTGCTGCTATACCTTGGTGTGAATGCACAAGAGTCATTTTCACATATTTCACATGAAACCTCTTCTTTGCCAAATAATTTTAAACCTATGCTTACCCGAATGTATATATTTACAGGGGTACTGTATGGTTTGAGGTCAGAATGCAGAGTAACAACCCGTATTTTCACATCTTGTCCTGGTTTATACATTGTCTTGTCAGTCTGGATGAAGACTGAAAAACTTTTACTTGCAAATGGCAGTGACGTTTGATTAGAAAACAGCAGTTGTCCTTTTGAATATCCATTCACTAATAACTCATAATTGGCATCAGTACTGCCCAATGGGAGCTGAGGAAGAAAATTCATTTCATTACCATTGCTATTGTTTTATTTATTTGATTTTTTTCAAATCCCACCTTTATTATTATTTGTAAATAATGGCAATAATGACTAATGCTCCTGCCTCTCCTATTTTCCCCACAACAACCACCTTGGGAGGTAGGTTGGTCTGAGAGCGTGACTGGCCAAAATCATCCAGCTGGCTTTCAACCTAAGGAGGTACTAGAACTCACAGTCTCCTGGTTCCTAAGACAGACACCTTAACCATTAGGCCAGGGGTCTCCAATCTCGGGCCGTGGACCGGCACCAGGCTGTGGCATGTCAGAAACTGGGCTGCGCAAATAAATAAATTCCCATCCATGGGATGCAGGCAGCATGCAAAACCACACACAGAACTGGTTCTAGTCATTTGAGACATGGGGGAACAGGTGACTGGAAGTCAAAATCTATATATACATTAAGATTATGAGGCTAAGCATTAACCTGCACTGCCTAGTTGCTCTGGCACCAGAACAGACAGGCATTTTCTTCTGAAGGGCAGAAAGAAATGAAATCCCTCTCTACTAATTTCCTATTTACCTTCCAATCAACCTCAAGTCCTGTTTCTCTGCTTCTGAAGTACATTTCCCCCCCTCTTGTGTTGGCAAAACCATAGACTTAGAATTGATTTGAAGCTGGAATATCATTTGTTGGGAATTAAACAGATCCAAATTTTCTCACACCACATACATTAACTAGCTGCTTAGCGCTTCACTGACACTATTGTTAATTTTCACAACCTTCCCCGCTCCCCAAAATAACTGAGTGTATACAATGTATGGCATTCCTCTCACAAGATGTGCCTGAGGAAACACACTGTGATTTACACAAGTTTATGCAATAAGAAACCTATTAGGGCAGGGATATCAAATTTTAATAGTTATGAGTGGTGTAGGAGGGTTCATTCATTACCCCAAGATATTGTAGTCATTTCATACATTGATAAAACTCTCTAGACTCTAGAGAATCGAAAATGGATAAAATGAAGAATATCTTTCTATGCCATTAAATGTACATTTATTAAATCAAAAATTCTCCACCGCAAAACTAAGCTTCTGGCAATGCTGTGAAACAGAGCCGTGTCACTTTGCCATTTAGCTGCCAGCATTTTTCATTAACCAGAACACCAATATTTGGCTTTGTTCCTGGGCTAATATGTCCTATTATTTTCAAAACCATATTCGGGATGATCATGAACTAGGAAGTCCAACTTGGGACCGCCCAAATTCTTTCTTCTTTCTCTTTGCTGAAAAGAAAAATCTTTCCTTTTGTTTTTTTTCTTGCTCGTTTTTCATTTTTGCTTCCTCTTTCCCTTTTTAGCAGAGATCCTACTTGCTTGCATAGTGACTGGCTGTCTCTTCCACTCATTGCTTGGCAAGAGACTCTTGCTTGGCAAGAGACTCACACATTCCTAGACCTAGCTCATCTTTCTTTGCCAAGCCTCACTTTCCAGCCACTACTACTGGTAGCTGCACATGCCTGACACATGCCTGACACCGGGGGCCTTGGGGCACCAACTGTGCAGCATGGTTGACTGGGCCCTGCTGTTGCCTTCAGACTGCTGGTCAGACCAAGGCAAGCCACCAGGACTTCCCATGGCTTGCTTTGCATATTAGATAGCATTTTCAGTGTCTATACAGTATTTCAAAAGCCATGCGTGTTGTACCATAATATATACTTTTTTAAAAAAACATCCTCCTCTCAATTTAACTTATCAGGTTCATATTATACTTTTTTTTCCAATTAGTCTAAACAATTAAACTTATTGCCCAAATTCAGCAGTAACATTTTGCCTTTGCATGTAGAATATAAGGAATTTCCAATGAGGAAATAAAATGTTTTGGATATAAGTACAAATTAAATTTTTTGCATATTATTGCATTTCTCATCTTTTATTAATACACAATTTTGTTACATTGAGTACCTATTGGTGTTTGCTCATAACTTGAGTACGCATTTAAGACATTCAAACTGAAATCCCAGATTCTTCTGAGCTGGCACTCAAACTAATTATTAATCTAAAGAAACAAAATAACACTTACACATTGATTACTAATTTGGAGCTATAAAATATAACCAAGTTAGCCAAATCAAAAAGCAAATAAAAGTAATGCTGGAAACATATGGTTTATATTTCTAGTATTTTAAGAGTACTTACAGATGGAAGGACTAGTGTCCCAAAGGAATCTATATTTTTGGGGGGGGGAGAGAGAATAAGGAAAAAATTCAAAGATTGCACACATCCATATGCCAGATATTCCCCCTATTCAAGCATGAGTTCTTTATATTGCTTATTTAAATATATGATCCCAGAAACATTCTTTTTAAAAATACTGAATAGAATATTCAGCCAATAAAACTACTTAAGATGAAATTAAGAAATTAACCTAAATTTTAAACAGCAAGAACATACAAGTAGCTTTCAACTTACAACCAGTCGCCTAGTAACCGTGTGAAGTTACAAGAGGCTTATAACCCACTTTCAGAGTTCTGACACCACCCCCCTCCCACAGTCATGTGCAAGTATTTTGGCTGCTTGGCAATCAGCCTGCATATATGTCCATTCACAGGGCCCATGGTCACATGATGATGGGACAATTTGTGATTGTTTTGTTGGAAACTAGTGTTTACTTCCAGTTTCTGGAAAAATCTAACCTAGTTAACGGGGGCTCACTTAAACATTGTAGTGTTTGCTTAACAAGCACAGCATTCACTTTACAACCGCTGAATTCGCTTTTAACAACACTGCAAAAAAGATTGTTAAAAAAAGGTTGTCATGTGGTGACTCACTTACAACCATCATCACTTATGAGCATAATTGGACTACCTGTAAAAAATAAAAGAGTTTAACAACAGGCTTCCTCTTTTCTGATCTACCATAAAAAGGATAGTTAAGGAAGCCATTTTCTATTCAGCCTGCAGGAAGGAACTTTCTCAGACATTACTCATATAGCCAGAGTCCACTCTATGACAAGGAAGTTGTGCTAAGTTTCTGGTTCCTTCCTAATATAATGCAATTATGCTACTCCCACCTTACTACTATACACTGAAAAAACAATTCAGTTTTATGTACTTGATCTAGTCACAAAATTTTATTCAAGTCTGAAGGAAAAATAAAAAAAGACCATGTTCCATTTGTGGGGGTATGATGGAAATAAAGATCTGAAAGCAATATGTATGTCCATGAATAAGCAACGTCATTTGGGTGAGGTTAATCACATGCACAGAAGAGTATGAATGATATACAGAGAGAAGCAGAATTATTCAGATAAGTAATGCTTTTTAGCACGTCACGCTGTTATTTTTTTTAAATTAAATGAATAAAAAAATTGGACATTAGGGCAATGAGACCACTAAAGTATAAAGCCAAAAGTCACAGCAATATTCAGCCCCAAAACATCATATTGCCTACCTTTAATCTAATTTCCACTGAAAACTACTCAAAGGCCCAGCTGTTAGACAACAAAATAATTTTAAACAATATACGAGGGGCAAGAATTTAAAAACAAATTTTCAAAAGCAGAATTGATTTGTGGTCTTGTCCCTTTGAACTAATTGCATAATTCCTACAGATTTCTAATGACAGGCATTTAATATTTGTTTGATTTTGAAATGTTACTCTTCAATTCTTTTTATCTGCTATGCAAAGTATTACCAACAAAACTGCAATGTTAGCTTAAGGAACAATAATGAAGCTCAAAACCAGAGCTTTTTAGTCATACCAATTATCCATGTTGTTTGGAAGTCAACTTTTACCTTGATTCATGTAATGTGATCACACTGTGCTATAATATACGTAACCAACATAGTTCCCATGGGCACATATGTTTGGGCAGACAACTCTCTTTGCTACCTCCATCCACCCCGCCCCCCACCCCACAATTTCTCTTCAATCAAATTCAACTTTAAAATTCTTTGCTAAATAAGAGAACACTGAACATAAATAGACTGAAAACTGAACTATGATTATGTTTGGATAGTGAGAGTAACCAACTGAGCGGATTTGGGATATAATAAAACTGGGAATGTAATAAAACATAGAAGCCACAGCAGGAAAAAAAAACAGCAGTGTCCATCTTTTGCCTTTATCAATCTAACCCTATCTGCACTGTCAGTCCCTCATACAGATTCCTCCGTCTCCAATAAATGTGTACATAAGCTACACCTATGTTCACACATACACATACTAGAAGCCATACTCTATAAAAGACTAAAGCCAAGATGAAAATTTATATGAATTGTAGTAATTAATATTAATAGGGAATACGAGGGAAATAAATTAAACCAAATCATTAACAAAAATTGATTTTTTTAAAAAAATGGATCTCAGAAATATAATAAATTATATTCAGATTGTAAGGTCCCAATCCCTTACTTGAACTTGAGATACCATATCAATCTAATCAGATAACCCAAGCGGAGACTTCTTGGTCAAGCAGCATTTTATTTGATCAAATTAAGCATCTGGATAGCAAACAATCTGGAACACTGGCAGAGTTACATCCACACCTTAGAAAGTTAGTAGCCACACCTTAGAAAGTTAGTAGCATTGCTTTATAAACTTTGTTAAGACAATGAAAATCAGTCAACAGAGCCATTACATCATAAGGAAGACATCAATTATTCCTGTACACTGCCTTATTCCCATCTTCAGTACATTGCATCCATACACATGTTTCCCACGCTTGCATGAGATTTCCCTGGTGCAAAAGCCGATTACAAAAAGCAAGAAAGCAACAGTTAAACTAAATAATTTCTCTTTGTTCCAGAACCCTTCAAGATACATACACACATACGGGGGCGGGGCCAGCTGTCAAGACAAACAGGTGTGTTGAACGATTCTCCGGATCGTTTTCCCCCGCTTTCAACCATTTGACGGACTTTTCGGGGTCCCAGGTTCCTTGGAGGGGGACCGGAAAATAAGACATGTTCTGAGGAGCGATCTCTGGCGGCGGCCGTGACCAGCGAACTCAGAAGAAGCCTTGGAAAAGTCAAGCGGAGGAAGGAGACAGCCCATAATGGCGGCCGCAAAGAAATGACAGCTGACAGCTGGACGAAAGACAGCAGCGAAATAGCGGTGACAGATCCAGCGAAAATTAATCCTGACAGTAATCCTGATGATTCAGTGGAAGTGATCCGGGGCAAAAGAACCTGCCGGAGGATTTCCAAGGAAGTACAAAGGAGCCCAGAAGAGTGAGAAGAGAGAAAGTCGTTCTCTTTTCTTCTCTCCTGAAATAGCGGCAAGAAAAAAGTTTGGGCATAGAAGGGTTGCTTGCATTGTGGAATTGTACTGGCTGGAGAAACTCAAAGTGAAGAGGAGTTTCTTTTTTTTCTCAAAAAAAAAGAGAAGGAAAGTCTAATCACGAGAGGCAAGTGCACTTCAAAGCTATAAAGTGAAAGTGCTGACGAAGCCGAGGAGGTAGACATTTTGAATTAAGACTGCAGGCTGAATACCAGAGATAAAGGCAAGAGAGATACCTGCTGGCTGAACAGAGAACAACTCTAGAAGGGGAAAAATAAATAAATAAAGAGGAAATAACAAACCTGTGACTTTAAAGTACACTTAGTTTTGTCTGCAAGTGTTAATTAGATATTTAATCAAAAACTCTCTGAAAGGAACTATAGGGGAAAATTATATGAGGAAATTGTGAGTATAGCAAGGGTGACAAATCATATATATTTATTGAACTTTTTGAAATCATTGACATCTATATTAACTAAAAGAATGATTGTTAATTATATATATATTGATAAGTCTATTGTGAATATTGATCGCTGCAAAATATTGGTGACCCAGATTTACAACCTAAATAATTTAATTTAATAATAAGTACCTAAAATTAATTAGTTAGCTAAGCGTCTATCTATGTTTGCTTTAAAACGCTTTAATATTCACTGTTAAGTATATTAATACCTGTATTTAATATATCTAATTGGCAACCTATCACTGTATACAAAACATAACATACTTAGATCTAATTGTGATAACCTTGATATACTGGAGAGAAACATAAAAATTGTAAATAAGTGGGGAGGTTGAAGAGTTGAGAAAGATGACAAGTATTCCCAATCTCACAAGCGTTGGAATAGGAAGGAAACAGACAACACAAACCATAACAATGGAACCAAGCCCAGCTAGGCAAAGATCTCTGGAAGAGGTGACACAAAGAAATAGAGCGAACTCATTTAAAGACCTACAATTAATGCTGCAATCAATGCAAGAGGTAATGTGTAAAAACCATGAAGACCTAAAAAAAGAAATTGGGAAAGTGAGAAATGACACAGGAGAACTTAAGGAAAAGATGCAGTCAATGGATGGGAAATTTGAGTGTTCTCAGCAACAGATTATGAAAAATGAATAAAAGCTACATGAAATGGAAGAAAGAATGGGAAAAGAAGAAAAGAGAGTAGATGAAATGAAAGGTTAACCCAGGCTAACAGAGAATTGAAATCAACAGTCATCTCCCTGGAATTAGAGAAGACTGCCCATAACCTACAGTTCCAAAACATCAGAGAGATGAAAGGCGAAGACCTAGCAGTGATGATGACAGACTTACTGGCGGGAGCTTTAAGGACCGGCAAAGAAGAGATGGAGAATGAAATTGATGAGATGTTTAGAATTCATACGAATTATGCGAGACGACATAATCTCCCTAGAGAAGTCCACATTAGATTGATCAAGAAATCTATTAGAGATGAGATATTATTTAGGACTAGAGACGACCCACTAGAATACTGAGGCAGGCAATTAACTGTACTCAAGCAAGTACCCAGAAGGGTGAGGGATTTAAGAAGACCCTACCAACGTATAACCTCCAAGCTGACAAGAAAAAATATTAATTTCAGATGGCTGGCATGGGAAGGGATTATGGTGGCAGGAAAAAAGGCTTCGACTAGATACAATTGATAAAGCAGAAGAATTTTATAGACAAAATTTGGTAGTGAGGAGAAGTTAGTGGAAAGAGAGATAAGAGAATAAGGTGAGATACTAGCGCAGGCTATAGAAGGAAAGGAACCACAAATTAAAGACAAGGGAGCTGGGAAAGGAAAGAATATAGATTATGAAAAAGATAATGAAAAATATGATGAGAATAGACTCAAAGAAGTTAAAGAGGTTACACCGACAAGAATGCTAGTGGAAAGAGAAAAGGAACCACAAGTTAAAGTCTAGACCGACAATAATAACA